TTGTAAATCTCACTACGTATAGGCAATTTACAAATGCTGCTCGAGATTGGCTTATTCAACACACACAAAAAAATCAAAATTGCATCAAATCTGGGTTGTCCCAATTCCTATTTCTACAACAAAATAACAATATTAAGATCAAAGAGGCATTGCATATTAAGTGGGAAAAACCTATCCTTAATCAGCAATTGAAACATCTAGAATTGTCTCTTTCCTTTTAATTATGTTGTTCCTTGGTCTTTTAATTTATTTTTATTATTATTACATTTATTTATTTATTTTTTATTTATCTATTTATTTTTTGATCTAGTCAAGCGCGCGCTATTTACATCTTTCGCGTTTTTAACATTCAAATGTAACGTAAGCCCTGACACGTAGTTTGTAACGTACCTTAATTTAAATTCAAATGTACAACAGTTAAATGCTCATTTGCAACTGAAGATGACATGAGAATGTCGAAACATGTCTTGTAAATTTAAACTCAAAGTTGTTGTTTCTTTTTTGAGAGTTATAATAATAATAATAATGATAATGATAATAATAATATGACTAGAATGTAGCATTCAGTTGATTTCTCTGCGACATAATAATAATAAAAGTCTTTATTCAAGGTTTTAAACGAACGTTAAAACTTAGAAGATCCATCATAAATAAGATAAAACTATCTAAGTGTTAATTACAATCTATTTAGAATCAAGAAGACATCTATTTACAAAAGCATTTCTTAAACTTCTCTGTGTTAACACGTGGGATCTGGTAAGGATGCGACCTACCACGTAAAGCCCTGTTCTGAAGCGGGGGGAGAAGATCCTGCGGGGGATGCGAAGAAGTACCCATAATACTTTTCCAGAGCCTTACATCCCTGTCTATAATAACCTGTCGAATCGATGACTCGTGTTGAATATACCCAAATCGAAAGGCCCTTTTCAGTAGCCTATCAGTCTGGATAAGGTACTTGGTGTAAGCAGCTCCTTAAAATATGACCATCTATGGCTGAACTGCTGTCTAACTTAAAAATCCAATGCCCCACACTCAACCCTTTGAACTTTCACGAAGTAAGACAGCGAGATTATAAAGTCCATAGATCAAAAAAGTTTTCTTGCATCAAGCTGGACACAAAATTTGTCTGTAAGGCGTCGCTTCCCTGCATGGCCACTGACACCCTATTGCAAAGTTGTGTCAGAGGCATTTTTCTGCCCTTCAACAGATTGCATTTTCCATTTGGGCTACGTTTGTCCTCGTAGCGATCATGAAAAAGGCATTCGTTCGAAAGCGCACGAATCTTCTCCTGTACGGGATGGAGGCCTGGGCGCGTTGGAGCCCAATGCAAGTAGTCAGCGGTCTAATCGTATAGAGTTCCCAGTTTCCCACATTTCTAGTCGCCATTTTTGTGAGTTCCTTTATTTTGACCATTTTGACTAGATTCTTTTGAGTCGCGTTTCAGAGTGACTGCATTAAATATTCGTGGAGAAAATGAGTGTTCGAGGTCGTTCAGATAATGGACCAGGCTTTGTGGGAATTAAATTTTGCCAAGAATGGTAAGGCTGTGTTTTTTCCCCTTAGTATTTCGTAAATTACTCACAAATCATTCTTATGTTGCATTTGCTGGTTGATCTTTAAATTTAACGTGTAAAAGGTTATGGATAAACTTCGTCTTTTTCTTTTTAGCAACAACATGTTATACCCAAAGGAAGACAAAGACAACAAGATAGTGTTATATGCTGTAAGTTAATGGTTAATTTCTTGAGAATTTTTAACTATTCGGTCGTAATGGCCGCCGGATCGAAGTCAAGAAAACTTTATTGTTTGTCACAGATTACCAGTTACATGTTGCTTCAGACGCAGGGCAGAATGTTCAGATTTACAAGGAATTATAGTAGTTGAAGTTCACTCATTAACTCGTGTTCTCAAACATTACTGTTTGCAATATAATATTATTACTATGTGAGCATGCAGCTGGGTATGAAACTTTTCCAACACGAGTAATTGGAAATCATTAGCAGTTTACCAACTAATAACCCAATTTTAACAATTTCGTGAGGCGTGAGTAGTCCAGTGGTCAGTGCGCTGGACTCTAGGTCAGATGGCCCGGGTTCAAGTCCTGGCTGGGGCTTGACGTTGTGTCCTTAAGCAAGACGCTTCACTCACATTGCTTCGTCTTCTCGGATAGGACGTAAAGCCGGAGGTCCCGTCTCCTGCACCTATCAATTAGTTAATTTCGGCAAGGGACGTTAAAGAACCCACATCACGAGATTACTGTGATGTGGTCTGGCCTGTTTACTGGGAAGGGGGGGAGGGGGCATCTGTAAAAATTTCTCCTTTATTAATTGTAAACTGCCGCCGGCAGTCTGGAAAAGTCCCCCGCACAGTGTTGTAAAGCGCATTAGAGCATTTACATGGAAATGCGCTATAGAAATTGATCTATATTGATCTATATTGATTGAATTTGAAGCACAGCTCAACACAAGAGAAATCACCAGGAGGCTTTAAGGAATGTAAAGTTTGCAGGTTTTCTTCCTTGTAGCCATGTGCAGCCCTGTCTATGGTTTTTACAGGTGTACATGGGTTTCAATAACCCTCTGTTTAGCCAGCTCTCTCTCAGGCTAAATAGAAGGTGATAAGGGGGCTAGCAAGTGGTGGTAGACTACAGTCAGTAACCTGCTTTGATCAAAAACCCTATAACATCTGGTGCTATGTTGATCAAAAAAATGTAGAAAAAGTCTTATTAAGTTGGTCTGGTGATAACTTTCCTAGTGTAGAAATTGTGACTATCAGCAAGAAGCAGACAACAGTTGCATCTATGTGAACAAGATCACTCATGAAGTCAAGTAAGTATTATGGGCCACAGCTGAATCAAATGCAAATGGCATTCAACTCATTTTTAATGAAAACCTGATATTAGGTGCAGGAATTTCAACGATATACCTTGGTGTGAAAATGATCTTTGCAGTAATTAACTTTACTTAAGAAGTTCTGAAAAATAAAGCCTGAAAAAATTGAAGAAAAAATTCAGGCCTGTATGGGAGTTGAACCCATTACCTCTGTGATATGTTTCTTGTTAGACATTTTGGTGTGTGATATTGTTGAATATTTTGACAAGTTGTCATATTTTGAGGATCTCACAGGCTGAATTAAAAGACAATCAATAGTAGGTATTCCTTTGAACAAATCATGCAGGAGTAGCCAATTTGTCAAACAGGTCTTTTTAACATGCCAAATAGCAACTTTCCAGTTAATGGTGCAATATTGCGAGATATTTGTAATCAATTTGCATGTTAATTGTACTCTGTTTAGTACAGTTGGATAATAAGTGAGTTTAGTCCCTAATGATTGTGCTGAAACACATAGAATAGAGAATGAACTGAGACAAATTCAACCCCTGGTTACAGCAACTGTGTATTGGACACATACATGTAAATTTTCTGTGTTTTTATCTTTGTAATTGAACTACGGCACTCTTTCATTTATATATTTGTGGCATGATTCAGTGAACTGACACAGATTGTAACAGATGTTGTTGCTGATCCTACCTTACCAAGAACAGAGGAGCATTCATGTCCCAAGTAAGTGAACTTAAGTTTAGCACACTGCACCAGATGCAGAGGTGTGGTTTTGAACCCTGATGGGACACTGTGGAGCATATTTAACACAGTAGCAGTAAATTCAAATTTTCATTGGCTTGCTGTGAAATTTCCCCTTGCTTTGATTAAAAGTCAAGTGATTCTGTTGGCATTTGTTTTAAAACTACCAATCAAAAACATTTCTCTTCTTGAATTCTGAAAGGAAAATGTAGTTTTTGCCCTGTCATGACTAACAATTATTGCTCATGGAGTCATTTGTCACTTTTACTTAGAAGGCTTCTTTACCTTTGTTTGACAAACTATGGTATATGTCTAAAGGCTGATAGTTTCGAAAGAAACTGTTTGGGGCTGCGTTGGTGGGAGTAACAAAATAATTTGGATATATCAACAAAGTTGAAATGGTAAATTGGCCACCGAAATGATTACAAAAGCTGACGTTTTGAACGTTAGCCTTTCGTCGGAGCGAAGGGCTCCAATGAAAGGCTAACGCTCGAAACATCAGCTTTTGTAATCGTTACAGTGACCAATTTACCATTTCAACTTTGTTGATATATCCAAATTATTATGGTATATGTATCTTGAAAGAGTAACAGAATGCTTGAATTTAAAGACCTATTACTTGGCTTTCATTAGTCTTCTAGGACTTCAAAAATTATAAGTTAAATTAACAAGTTAAGCGGTGTTTATTGTAAGCCTCTAAGCACTTTTCAATATGAAAGAGAGAGAAACAAATATTTCAAATAAACATAAAGCACCTTAAAATCCCAACTAGCAGGAGGCAGGAGTTGAACTGAGGGCAACTGAGAACAATTATTCAGTAAGTAGCAGGCTGGAGGACTTGGACCTGGGAACAGTGGATTACAAGTCCAGTGCCCTAACCACCTGGCCACTCTGCTGCTTTCCTAGCATCTTCTGGACAATTCTTAAGTTGCCACCCATACTTCTGAACTCGAACAGCTGGGCCTGCTCTCAAATAGCTGTCCAACAGAACAACATTAGGCCTCCGTGTCTCCCGCTGATGTAATACACACATGTACATATGTTTGTCTGTAGTGACTATTTTTTATCAATTTAGATGTGGCCATAGCGAGTCAGTGTTCTTCCAGTCACAGTCCAGCAAAGCAGATGTAAGTTTTTTCTTAATCTACTGTTAGTGTATCCAGATATATGTGTACAGTACATACTCTGTAGCAATTTTTTCTCATATTTCCCCAGTGAGTCCCATTGAACTTGGTTTTGAAATGAAGTGACTCAGATTACCTCTTAAGGAAAAAAAGATAAATTAATCCAATTTTAACAGATCCTTTTTCTTCTCCTCTTTTTTAACAGCAAATGAGATTGTATTATGTATGTACAGCAGTAAACTGTGGAAACAGATGGACTGAATGAGATTCAACTCACTGAACCTTGATGGACAGTAAGGATCATAAAGGGAAACAACATTACCAACTCCTGTTGCAGAAATCCTAATGGGCCATCAGGAAAAAGTATAAGAAGAGAAAGATGGTTTCTTCACTGTTCTAAGCAGTGATGTGTTAGCTTCAATTCTGCATTATTTTTCCCCAAATGTATTTCATTCCTCTGATTTCATTACCCAAGAGGAAAATGTTTCGGAACTCGCTAGGAGATGAAGGGGCGTGTAAAAAGTTTATCGCAGTTGGTTGTAAAAAAATAATGAGACTCTGAGGGCTTTCTGTTTTATTTCATGATCAATCGGGAATCACAGAAATGTTGTTATATGAGTAGCTGGATAAAATGATATGGCTCAATCATCTCAAATTGCATTTTGTTGAAACTTTCCTTTCGACGAGTTTACCTTCGATCAGCCCAGGTGCCTTCAGTATTCAGAACCTCCAAGAAAGTTTGAGACCTTGAGCAACACCAGCCGGCGAGAGGTCTGGTGATAGTTAGGCTCCATATTAGTGCCAGACTCCAGGCAGACCTGTCCCCGACGCGTTTCAAATAAAAATCAGGCTTTGAGGGGATTGGAACCCTGCCTCTCGGCATACACCAGTCGGGCGCATTAGCCAAGAGAGCTTCGTTGATCCAGATTGATCTCCATGGTTCATACGCTGTAGAACGTATGCAACCAGTCTAACTGTGAGAAAAAAAAGCTCTCAGGTTGTGTTGGTTGTGCAGGCGTCAGCGTACTCACTGTTTTCTCATTTCTCCCTATTTCCGTCTATACCATTTTGCAGTTTTTACATGTGCAACTTTTTTTTTCCTTTTATGAACCAGAGGAAGAGTGTTTATAATTTAAGAACAATATCATCGATTCCATGGGGAGGCTTAAGATCGAGGAACCCACGTAGACTATTATGAATGTAAAAACCATCGCTTTGCTTCAAAATTGCGGCTGAAAAGAGGTATCTTTATATTAGCTAGTAATTCATGGGACCTGTCTACAGGTCTGTAACCCATCAGAAGCATCACACTTCGGCAGTAATGCTCGATAACATCAATTTCATGGGGGTGAACTTTCCACCTCCAGCGGTTTGCTGCCACCCATGCGTCATCCTTGGTGCATGTGGCTTCTTCACCGTCCTGTGCATGGTTACAAGCACTCCTACTCTGCCGTGTTGTTCCGTTTAGCCATGTCCTTACACTCTCCAGCACAGACAACCCAGCAAACTCGTAAAGAGCAGAGAGTTCTTTTAATGGGTCCAGCGCTAGGTCCTCGTAGCGTTGAAGTTTGATCCGGCTGTGTAGAGATTTGGGAAGTTTTCGTATAGAATCCAAGTTGTCTTCAGTTTTTTTACAGGCCCAGTAGCTAAACTCTCGAGTTCCCAGCCTTGCAGGATTTCCGTGGTTGTCTCTGAAGAACCCCACGCTATGCGCCGAGGCGATCACGGCTCTGGGGTCTCGTACGAGGAATATAATTCTGCAGTTAGTATCCTTTGTGTCGCATGCTTCCAAAATACTTCCGATGTCATTATTGGGTACACGATCCACGAGCACCTTTAACACTGTCATTTCGTAATGTTCCCTACACGCGCTTCCCAAAGACTCGCTGGTCATAGTAGGGCAAAGGCGTTGATCCCACCTTTCATCAGAAGTTTTGTAAGGACACAAAGGTGGCGATGCAATGGCGTTACTGACACGTGGATGATCCGGTTTGCGGTAAAATTCCTCGATATCAGCCAATAATTCGGGAGAATCAAATCTGCAGCGAAAAATGCCAGCTAAAAAATCTTTGGCGAGGTCATTGTAATCTGAATGAGGTTTCAAATTTGTATGGACTCTTCTGATGGATTGTAAAGGCTCATACATGTAAAACACAGAAGGATGATGGTTAAAAATATCCCCCATGAGTGTGGAGCCTGATCGACCGTGTGAAACGACGATAAGAGTTTTCCTTGCTACCTTTAATACATCATTGAAAACCATATTTGAGTCAGCTAAGTCAATCTCCGAATTGCTGAAATCTTGGCCTTCATCAGTTTGTTGAGTCTTTCGGATATTTATTTGCTCAATCCAGTCCGACCACAAGACGCTGTAAAAGCCAACCAAACACAAAGCCAGAAAGCATATCAGTAATGGAATGGATTTTAAAATCCTTTTCATTCGCAGTCGCCTTATCGTCATGTTGTTCAAATTTTAAATTCTAAACAGAGAGAGATGCGAGCAAAATGTGAGAAAGAAAATCGATGGCTTGCGAATGAGTTGCGTGTAACGCTAAGATGATCACGATTCATGTTGCTAGGAGTTTAAGCACCCTTTAGAAAGAACGAGTCGCCTTCTACGGGGTGGCATAGACATAATAGATCTTATTTATATGATTTTTTAAATTTCGGATCAGCGTTAGCGTATGGTAGTGCATGCAATCTGCCGTGAGAAATTAAGGAAACAATATTCAAAGATATACATGAGAAGTAAAGAAACGAATTATAAAAATTAGCCCGCTTTTTGCGCAAAAATCTGTTTGTGCTTTAAAACTGTTGAAAGTAAGTCAGGTTATACTTTTGGTGAGTTCCTTGCTTTGTATCTAAATCAACATTTTTCTATAAGAGAAGATGTTGCTAGTAGAATTTGAATATATTATGTATATATTTCTTTGTTTTCTCTCTAATGGTGGAATCCGGCGGTGTCTCTGCCACATAAGAGAGAACGGACCGCTTATTTTCGTAAGTTCAAACTCTGATTTTTTCAGATTCGAAGTACGACTTCAGACTTGTTCTGGGCGATTCTTCGTGCTGAAATAACTTGATTGTAAATAATACGGTCATCCATATGATGCACGATCCTCGCAGTAGATAGCGCTATTTAAGCAATAGGGAAAATCAGACCTGAAAAAAATCAGGGATTCGAACCACTGACGTCTTCGATACTAGTGCAGCACTCTACCAATTGAGCTAACAAGCCAACTGGGAGCAGGCCGTTAAGTTGATTCGTAATAAACCCGTGAAAGTGATAAATGAGATACAATGAAATATATGAAGTTCGTATATTTTGTACTGCGGTATTAGATACATATGATGCACGATCCTCGCAGTAGATAGCGCTATTTAAGCAATAGCGAAAATCAGACCTGAAAAAAATCCCGTACAGGCCTGATTTTTTTCAGGTGTGATTTTCGCTATTGCTTAAATAGCGCTATCTACTGCGAGGATAGTGCATCATATGTATCTAATACCGCAGTACAAAATATATGAACTTCATATATTTCATTGTATCTCAATACGGTCATCACTACAAATTTTCACAAGTGACGATGTGTATGTACTTACAGCTTTAATTAAGCTGTCTAATTCTATAAGATTGATTAAGAAATCGGGCTCATGCCCGGTATGCAACTGGTAAGCGATAAAGAATTAGCGCTGAGATTCGACTTGAAGGTTATGTCCCGAGCATTCGGTCTAATTATTGATGCGCATAAATCGCAACGTACACGCTTACTCGAATAAAGGTTTTTATAGAGTTAATATTTCACTCCTTTGGAAAGTGATTGAAGGCTCTTTCCCTTCATCAGTGGTGTGGGGGACTGGATTGGGAAAGGGCACGGAGGGTAGGAGCAGTGTTCGGTTGGTTAATTTCAACGCGCAAATAGAGGAACAAATGCGTAGATTTTGAAGTTTTAGAAATTCAATTACCATGATAATACATTTGTAGTGACAATTTTTTTTGTCTGAATGTTCCGACAAAAAAGGTTCTTGTACAAAAGAGAGCACACTATTTCAAGTTTGTCGCCTTTGTCCTCCCATGTACAGTTTTGCCACGGTAATTTCAGATAGGGACAGGTGTCGAGTTTACATTTCTGATGAAATCAGTTATGATCTGTCACGGACGGCTGTTTTACAGTGTACAGTGCACAGCGGTAATACGCGTAAAAAGTTCAAAATGGCGGATAGTGAAAAGATGCAACCGAAAGGTGGAAAAGTGAAAAAGAAAGTCATTTCCCCATTCTGGTTTAAGTATTTTCTTGCTATGGTTTCATGTAACCATGAAGCTATACTTTAACCTGTATTCAGTTCGTCGGGATTGTTCAGAGTTTTTGTCGCGACAATGTCGCGACGCCCACGTTTATTCATTTTGACCCTCTCCATGCATCGATATCTGTTACTAACGGGTTCACTGTCGAAGGGGCAAGTCCACTATCAAAGGATAAAACATTCTTAGGTTTTGATAACAGTTCGTGCCAGTTTGTTGGAAATATAATTGATGTTCTGTGTATATAGACACCAACAAACTTTGAGAAGCACGAAAATAAAGTAGAACAAAAAAACCAAAAGACACTATTTAGTCTGCAGACTACTTAGTACATTAAAGTTAATAAAATTACTCTTTCGGAATCATGTTGCCTGGTTATTCAAAGACGGCAGGCGAAGTTCATGTTTTACAAATTATCTTTTATCTGCCCTAAGGGAACCGATCTGTAAAAAAACCAATCTGTAAAAAAATCAAGGGAAGACTGTCGGAAAAGTGACGTCAGCCTTGTAACCTCGCAACGCGAAACCAAGGGTGGTCTTTACGATATTGTGGATTTGTAAAAGAATAGGCTAAGACCGACGCGATACGAAGCGTGTGACGACTACAATAAAGATAGGAAAAAAAACTACGCGAGTGACTAGTGTTGCTGTACTGGGATTTCCAACATGACTAAGCCTGTGTTATTTTTAAATCAGTAATTTGAAGACAGCATCATTGAGACTTTTATGAAGCTGGGTGATAATTTTTTTTCTACAGAGATATCATTCAACGATTTATTTATTTTTTAACACTGATATTGGCCTACACCCCACCCATTTCCTCTAAATCCTTTTTCTAGCCCATTTTGCATCCTTATTTATATTCAAGTTTGCTTTGTTTGTCTTGTACAACAAAAATGAGTGAAAGGGTTTCGATACTACTCTGGTCTGGACTAAAGAAGGGGAACCCATGAATAGTTTTTAATCTTAGGTATATGTGAACACGCAAACCGAACGAAAAGAAAATGAAAAAACCTGGGAGGAATATATATTCTTGCGTCCGTGCGCACCATGTATGTCACCTTCGTTCCTCTTTGCATTTTGACTTCGTCTGTCGTGGAAAGCTACACGTACATGGCATAAAGAAATTCAGGAAACCATCACACAGATCTTAAGATTATTAGAAATGCGAATGTTATTTTATCTTATTATTTGTTAGTTATTGTTTGGTCCTCAGGGCGTGAATGGAGCGTTGTATTAATTATAAACTTTTTCTGTTAAACTGCGATAAGAAAAAATAATTATCAACATCCGATATAGATCACATCATAATTCAATTAATTTTATTGTTTTCTCTCTTACAGCTGTCACAAAAGAAATATATCGTATATTTTTTGACACCAGCATCTGATTGAAAGGCGTGTAAATTACTCAGTGGTAATAAACTACCAACCCCCTACGATGCTAAAAGTAATCATTCCTTCTTCTGACCGCTTCAAAGCGAGAAGTTTTCAACGAATTTGTTATGCCCCGGCAGTAAGTGGAAGGAAGGATAGAGATAAGATAAAACTCAAGGTCATTAAAAATTCAGCTTAGATATCTAACAATAGGCTAATTGATCACTCTACACAGTGGTCGCCGAAGTTCATAAATTATTCTCAAAGAAGTGATTGGCCTGATACTCAAGATTTTCAAGAAAGAAACTGCACGACTAAGATAGAACGCTTGTTGTGAGAACCAAAATATTAAGAGAGGAATTTTGCGGAATTCCGGAGAGCTTTTTCAGAGAAAAAATGATTGAAACAGGTACAAATTTTCTCCAATCTACCAATGCTTTCTGATGAAGACGTCGTTGTGCTTCTCTGAACAGAAAAGCGGAAGGTGAAAAGGTATGCATACCACATTAAGACTTAGGAATCTGATAAAGACGTGTTAAGCCTCATTCTTGCGATAGGGGAGTTCTTTTCACATGGCATTTCTCAATTCGTACTTCTTGTTTTTTAACGTTGTGAAAGCGCGTGGATGCTTTTGCAAACTTGATGCGAGAAAGTGCGTACTCTTGTCATGTCATGTATCACATTTCTGGGTCAACGTTGCGTTAGAAAAATTCAAAATAATGTGAACTTCTGTTACCCGTTTGCAGGCGCTGAGGGAGGATTTTTTTATTTTGCTCGCGAGAAATCATGCTCATAGCGTAGCGTAAATTATGACTCCACGTAAAGAAATTTGCACATTTTCAATACAGCTCACTTTCCTTTCAACAGAACAGACTTTGTATATATGCTAGGGGAGTGGAGACGGGAGAGTGTTAAGCTTGTTTACCATAGAAGCTCACGAACAAAAATGAAAGAAAATATTAATTGATATTACTAACAAACCTTGAAAAGGAAAATCGGTAACGTGGGAGAGAAAACTCCTAAAAAAAGTCTTCGAAAAACTAAATTAAGGCTCAACGGCGAGAAAAAGAATTAAACCCATCCCTTCCCCTCTGAAAAAAAAAGGTAACAAATTACTAACTTCCGTCCCACGCAATAACAGAAGTCTACACGCCTTGGATGTTTGTGGTTTTATCCAAACACAGAGAAAGGACAGAACAGTGTTGTATGTCAACATGTTGACGTTACACATTAAAAATTGAGATGATCGAGACATGAAAGAACCTTTCAATGATGGAATCAAATATGATGAACATATTTTGAATATCGTGCATCGCAACACCCATCTACGGTTTCAAAACTTCTGGAGACATTAATCAGACACCCATAAATGCGGCTGAAAGGGTCGGAGAAGCCCTTTAAACGGTTCAATACTCCGGAAAAGGTGTGTTAGATAGCCTTTGTGTTTTCTATTTTGACATAAAACCACTTTCTGTTTTCATTTTTCACACTTGCCTTCAGTTCTCTCAAATGCTTAAACCAGCCAATACACGTTTATTTTGAAGGGGCCAGAGTAACCCAACTGATCGACACACAATTTTAGGACAGCCGATCTCCTTGTTCCGGAATTATTCTGTTGGCCTCCTTGGCCGACTAAACGTAGATAACGAGCTGGTAAAGGAAAGCGTTGTGTTCTACATTCGTCTTGAAGGTAATATATGACTTTAGAAGAGCGCAATTGGACAATATACCTCATTTGTCGCTAAACATGAGAAACATTTATTTTCTTTTCTGATTAGATCAGTGAATTTCCCTTCTAAGCTTTCAATTTCTTCAGCTCATATTCGCGCGATCGGAAGTCACAAGTCGAACTGCAGCATGTGTTATCTCAATAGCTGAAAATGATCCTCTAATGATACAGGACGACATATAAGTTAAAGGATTTGCATTCGGTTTGCGTTGGTTATTCAGAAGTTGAACAGAAGAACAGAGCGACAGAAACGTTCTGACCGAGAGGTACCTCGTAATTCATTGCATAACAAGGGTTGATTTTAAAAAAATGAGGATCACGCACATGTATTTAGATTATTAGCCAAAAGAGCGAACTGATCTGCCGTGTGAACTTTTCATAAGTGGTGAATGATAATTATTGGTAAATTTATGTTTGGATTATCGCGTGTGAATTGTACTTTCTTTCATCAGTTTATTCGACTACACAACGCGTAGACTCCACGATCGAACGAGTTTTGTGTTGTTCAGTTTCAGTAGCACGTTACATCATGAATGGCCAGCACTGGTTCTTGTCAATTTCTGTCGGCTTGTGCTGGGTTTTGGCGCCAACAGGTACAGAGGTGAGAAAAAGCACAGTTTCTCAGTAATTATGTTGTATAAATATTGGGTCTTCAGCCGCTGTTTCCCTGCAGAGGTTGACCGTTAATTGCGCCGTCTGATTTCATTTTGTGCTCAAGTCTCCGTAGATAGTCAAATTAAAGGTTAATATAGGTTAGATTGTCATTTTTTTCCCAGAGCTTATGATTTCATGATCAATTGACGATGAGGGGGGGTTAGGATAACCTTCGAAAAGTAAAAGATTTTTTTCCACTGGTCAGTTGTTGACTTACTCGTCTAATGCTTCACTTGGGGGGTGTAAAAAAAATATTGGTGTAAGGAGTTTTCCAAAGAGAAGCCGTAGGTAAACAGGATTTATGCTGTTTGCCGTGGAAATTGAGGCTCGAGTTTCTGTGAGACACCGCCGTTAAAATCGAAAACGGTTATGACATCCAGCGCTTGAAAGTTTAATTTGTTCAAAAGAGGTTAGACAGATATGTTCCTCAGTAATTTTTTTTACGTGTGGAACTGATTAATTTTGGATTGGTTTCCTGACCTTTGTATGAATACTGAAATCGCCGATGATTAAAACACTTTGTCAACTTTTGTCGAGGGAGCCATCAAAATTCTCGAAGTATGCTCTTTATGGCCCGAACACATCTTTAATAATGACCGTAGTTATCTTCTCCCTTGAAAAAGCTCTGTTTGTACACTAGAGCCTCATGAAAAGATGTTATTCGTGGTGTTGAAATCATAGGTCATCCACATATTAAGTATAAAGCTGGAAAACTGCACTTCATGTGATTGAAGCATCACAAACGATAGACAGTACTTGCTAAGTGCAAACAATGTTGAAATCATTCCAAACTTACATTCCAGGGCTTCGCTTCGTATGCGCAGCCAATGACCACAATATTAAAATTCAGGCCAGGGTTCGTTTATAGATCGATGTCCTGTGGTTATTAGAAGCATTTCGCCGGATTGTCTTCCATTTCTAAACAGTTTCGCCGAGAGCGCTAATAATAACTGTGGAGAGGAACATGTCAAATTGCCAAAATGCCATGTGCTCGCGACCTTTATTAGTTACTTCTTCATAACTGTCATAAACGTTTCCTTATTTATACTTTTCTCCCTTTGAAACCTCGAAATTTTGACATTCTTCACGACGGGATACTTTGTGTTCATGTATTAGGAAAGTTAAAAATATATCTTGTCAGACAACAGCAGAAGTGTACCTGCTAAAGCATGAGATTTGCAACGCTACGTAAGCCTTAAATGTATCTTTATTGGGTGATCAAAAAACCCCAAAGAAGATTTTTTTCACCACAATTTGAAAGCGAATCTCAACTGGTATGAATGAAAAAGGGATTTTTGAAACTGAAGTGGCTAATGCTCAAATAGACATCACGCAACGGTTACACCTTTTGAAAGAATTCGGTCGTTGGAAATGAGCAGAGTTATCACCATCGATAAATTTTAAGAAGTGTTCAGAAGTTGTTATGTTTTGGGGTTATACAGTCATGCGTTACAGATAACTGCGTCGATTAGAATGAAATATTGAAATATATCCTATTCTATGCGAGACAAACTCCCAGGAGATAAGAATAGATGATGCCTGGGGAAATAGAGGATTATCGTGACGATTTTGGAAAATTCAAAGGAAATTTTTCAAAATGAAAAAAAAGGTGAGATAGATCCTATGAACCCGAAGATCAAACTAATAGAGCAATTCGACATTTTCTAGAGTTAAAACTTGAAGTATCCAGTAAATATTCAGGTAAAACGAAAGGCTGTGTTTTGGGCCTCCGCAAACTACATGGATTTCATGCATTCTTTTCTGGTAAACCTGTTTAAAATGGTCAAAGAGCAATGGTAGGATTCTTTTTTGGGGAAGGACAAACGCAGCTTTGTGTTTGAGGAGATAAAAGAATTACATATTATAAAATATCTAAAGATTTAGAAATAAAAAATTTTCCCAAAGCAAATGGCGAAGTTCTTTGATCCCGATTGACAATCTAGCAAACCAGGAGGACGAGTAAAAAAAAATATAAAATAAAACTTCGTCCATCGTCCAGCTTGTTCTAAGTGTGCTAAAAATATCTTTTCGCACTATTGATATAGCTTACAATTTCTTAACTTTTAGAATTCTCTGGCACACGGTCAGGTTTGGTTTGCTTTGTCTTTAGGCTGATGCTTCCCTCTTATATATTTGAGATTAAAAATAATAATAGCAATAATAACAACTGCGAAAGATTAAAGGTTGACGCACCATGCAATCGATTCTTTTTTCTCCGTTTACCCCAAACAGATGTTTGTTCGTGCGCAAAATTGACTCTTAAAACTGACGAGAGACTTATTTCCTACAATGATATATTTTTCGAGGTGATTTCTTGCCCAATAAAGTCATAGAATCCCTATGATCCAATTCTGTAGAAAAGCCAAGATAAGTTCTCGACGTTTCCATGTTTCGTCTCCCTCAGTCAATAAATTGTTCTGGAAAAGTTTGCATGTACTTAACGGCATGATGCCTCTATATGCCTTTTAAATTAGCTACTAGATAACCTCTGTGAAGAGATAGATGACCTTCGGAAACTTGGCTTGGCGATACCATAAAGCTCTGATTTTCACTCACTTTATTTAGAGTTGTTAGGATAATTTATGCCACCGCACCACTGAGATGGTTCCATTCAACATGATATGCTTGCTTTTTACGGCTGAGGAATACGGTATCTATTGCTGCTCATTTAGTGTGATTAGAGAAATTTTTTTATCGTAATGTATCTCTATCTATGATAATCTTTCCCTAATCTGAAAGCACACGCGAGTTCAAGTAATGACAACCGTTTATTGATTGAAGATATCAACAACGAGTTGATGACATAGAATAGAGAGTAATATTCATTTATTACTTCCCTTACTCAAATTAAGACAGCATTCGCATGTCCCGATAAGGAAAAGCTCTTCTTATCTATTGTTAGTTTATCGGTGTTTTTAGAGTCACTGCGATAACAAAAGCTTCTGTAAAACACCTGAAAACGATATTAACTTCCTTGGATCACGTATTTTGTCCGCTCTGGGCGCAGGCGAAGGACACACGCTACGCAATTCTGCGTGATCCTGCGTGATGTTTCGTGCTGATTTCGATATTTTCACTAATAATTGAATGGGACGGCTTTTGCTTCGACAGCTCATAGGGAAAAAAGGTGGGAAATTCCTAATTGGCTCTCTCATTATCAGAGTTGATGTCGTTTACGAAAACAGAAAATTAGTTTAATTTGATAGGTAATTGTATGATTATTTCAAGATTATTCCTGACCAGCTCACGGTAATTATGCGGCGAAATGGAGACAGTCGATGAGGTTCTAGAAAAGGGGCACTTCGTGTTATATATTTATATTCATAAGGTAATCTTCTAAGTAGGTCAAAGCCTGCGAAGATATTCAAGTTCAACATTCATAAATTTTTATCAACCGAAGACAAGTCAATACGATAAACAAACCCATTGAATGCTAGCGTGTCCGAACGATGTTGGAGCTGAAGTGATGTATTTTCTCCTTCAAAGTGACACCAAAACTTCTGGACGGAGTTTTCTTATCTAAAACATACAGATTTGTTTGTCAATTTTCAAGCAATTAGAATGACAAGATAATCGCTAAGGGATTATGGGATTACGAATCAAAGAAGAGGAGTGTTATGGCTAAATCCGTCGGTAGATTACCGTTAATCTGGTTGGTGAAAAATTCTAATCTCGCGTGGAATCTGTTTTCGCGTCAGTATCTCGGTACGTATGAAAATAATGATTAGAAGCACAAATTTTGGTACAAAAGAATTAAGAAATTGGCATCTGTTGAAATGTTGAAATGTCTAGACTCCTGTTCAGTGGAAGTCTCTTGCCGTTAATGATCTCCTTTAAATTTCCCTCTCATTGACATACTTTAAGAAACAACCTTTTAATTCAATTAGCACCCAAGAGGGCACTGCTGTAGGACATTTATGACTTCGCTATAGAGTGCAGTGATAATTCGGCAAGTCTGAACAAAATAGTACTCTTAAGTTTTACCTCACACGTTCCAGACAAGAAAATTGTGACAATCTTTCAGTGCAAATGAATCAAACGAGCTCTTTGACTTGTTATGGTCGGTATGGTTCTAATTCGAGAAAGTGTTTCAAATTTTCGAGTTTTAGATTCCTTTGCGATGATCCTGAATTTAACGGGTAGAATCACGTAAAAAAACGTAAAAAGTGAACAAACCGTGTGTGGTCGGTTTTGCTTCGTTATTAAAACAGATTTTGATCATCTCAAACAGTTAGAATTCACTGGCAGGAACTCATCACTTCAAGGGTCCATCCACCGGGCATAACTTACTACAGTGGAGTTTTCACTGTAGAACAGTTATTCATGGATAAGACTTTTGCAGAAAATTACCGTTTCCGATGTCGTCTGCATAGAATGAAACAAATGAGTCAAAATGAATTTACAGTGGTAGTTGGCATCGTTTTGTACCAACAATTTTATTAAAATAGAGAAAAGATTTGGCACCTAACAACATCTATCGCTGTTGATTAGTTATCCAGTTCTAATTAGCGGGAAATAATTATCCACGATGTGCCAAAACGGATTTGTCTCCCTTGAAGTCTCAGATAGTTATACCAGAAGGGTTTTATCATTAAGTTTTCCGGCTAACCGTTCCCGACGTACACGAGCTTACAAAAGGGTTTTCAAGCACTGCTTTCCTTTTTTAGTCATGTCACTTGGCAAACTAGTAAATCAAACAGCTAGTACCAGGTCATCTCTGACCAATGTCAAGCTAATGAGAGACATAAAGAGGTTAAAATATGTCAGTGAAGTTTTCACGACAAACACAATGGTTCGTTGTTTTTAGTTTTCATACAACATACCACGTTATTTTTTCCCCTAAGGTTTTTAGGTTATTATCCTGACATCCTCAGCCAAATGACCACGTGATCTGATAGGCAGACTTCGCTCGTAACCACGCATAAATCGCGTGATTCCAACTTGTGTACCTCTTAATTCTTTTCTTTTCAACTGTTTGCAGGCTCAAGGTGACGATGGATCATCGTCAAAGTGGGGGCCTTGGAGCGAATGGAAACCCTGCTCCCGAACTTGTGGAGTGGGTGTTTCTTATCAAGAACGAGAGTGTCAGGAGAAGGAAAGGTTACAAAGTCATATGTTTGTCTGCTTACTTGTGTCTTTTCTTTTTTTTTTTTTTTTTTTTTTTGTCATATAGTCACACTCCTTATAAAGTTTGAGCGATTTGATATCTCATTCAATAGGAATAATAACGTTCTTGCCAGATAAATAGCTACATTTATGTTAAATGTGGATCTGTGGAAAGATAGATGTTTGACATTTGTCATGAGCATGGCACAAAGAAAAAGAAGGCATGGTGACCATTGAGCTAACCGCCTCCCGGTTAGCTCAATTGATAGAGCGCTGGACTGATGTGCGGGAGGTCGAGGGTTCGAGCCCCGGCCGGACCAACACTCAAGGTCTTAAAATAATTGAGAAGAATATGCTGCCTTTCTATAACATGAAGAAATGGTTTAGATATTCTAGTCTTCTCGGATAGGGACGAATAAATGGAGGTCCCGTCTCCTGCAGGGTTAGGGGTAGGAGACGTTAATTTCCCACGTACGAGATTATTGTGTGATGGATGTCCAATATGGGTAACCATGCCCCACGTAAAGGCATTAAAACTTTGATTACTATTATTACTATTACTTTTCTAACCTCAAGCGGCTTCCGATTTCTTGTTATGATCTCTCCTACTGAACCGAGATGCTTTAAATTCCGATCATACCATAGCACCGACAACTCAAAAATGCGGGCTTATTTTCTGGATAGGAAGATTGCCCATCCAACTAAGCTTTTCTCTTTCCCACCCCATTTTAGCTCATTTACTGGTACCCATATATTCCTCTTAAGTTAGGAGTTGCATTGCAAGGAATATACTTCTTGTCCGTGATTACAATTTACTGGACCACCACGCTCGTAAAACTTCCAAATTTAAACAAAAATTGTGTTGAAGATTTCATATTGCAGTTAAAAAGCTTACTCTTTGATTACGTTTTTGTTTTCTTAGACCAGATGACTTTTGCAAAGGAGGTAAACGCATTTACAGAACATGTAACATACAGGTAATATGTTATATCTATAACTTTCCCCTGAACTGATGCCAATCTGACGTTGTTAATAGGTTATCCTTGGTGCTGTAGTTGACCAGTCTTACCTTAGCTTACATAGTTAATGAAAGCAAAGTCACGTACGATTACTCTTGACACTTCAACTGATCAAACTTTCCAAATTTCTCTCTTAGAAATTGGTTAAAAGAATAGAAACCATTGTGAGATTCAAATATAGAAATATTTCTAAAACATAAGTTTTGTTTTTGTGTTTCCATGATGCTTAGAATTTGTTTCGTTAAGACTTCAGAATGACAGCCAAATGCTTGAATGTTTGAATAAAAGTTTTTTTTTTTTCTGAACCAGAGAAAGCCTGTTTTATGTTCATAAAATTGAGGCGTTATAGCCTACGTGTAGCTGTACCCCCAGGATTAACGGGGGGGGGGACGCTCCCACCCTTCAGTTTTTCCTCGAGGGGGGATACGGCTACCCGTGGGCTAGAGGAGTTGGTGATAAAATGCTTTAAGTAGACCGTGCTGAGTAATAATCGCTGTAACATCTTGAATCTTCAATACCTCTTATTTCTCCTTTGTATCTTAGGATTGTCCGGAAGGATCCAGGGATTTCCGTCTTGAACAATGCGAAGCCTTCAACGATCGCACAGTGGATGGGCAAAGATTTGAATGGGTTCCATATATACCAGGTATGATTTCCAGCAACTGAAAAATTTCGTTATTATTTGGTCCTTAGTGCTGTAAACAGGCCTCTTTTAGAAAAACCACAATCTTTGACCAGATCAAACACATTTATGTAAAGATCCCTCTTTTGATAAGCCGAAAACAGTTTGGGGACAGTTTGCTTTTTTTCTCAAAGATTTTCACTTCTCTTTTCTTAGATCATCTAAATTTTTTACTATCAAAGAGAGAGAAAATCTTGGAAAAGGATGTCGGTGCTCCATACCTATAATTTCCACTTTTCTTTTATAATCTAATCTGACTTTTTTTTCTGCTGTTCAGCCAACGGAAAATGTGTCTTGAACTGTATGCCGAAAGGAGAATACTTCCTTGTGCGGTGGGCAGACAAAGTGGTGGATGGAACAACGTGCGCTGTCGACTCGTATGATATTTGTGTGGATGGGAGGTGCGAGGTATGTGGATGGGTAATAAGTTTGCAACGGCTTGTTTATCTTCGGATCTGTAGGTCAGCGGCGTATGACCCAGGAATCCCATCGAACTTTTCCGGTTTCGTTAGCATGGTGTGACATGGACTATTACAACTCTCCCCAAAGGGTTACCCTTCAGATTTTTGTAAGGTTTACCCGATAATTCGGTAGTACTCGGTTGTACTTCTACGAGTGGAGGTTACTGTGAGGTTCAAGTGTAAATTGCTTCACTCTGATCTACCCACCGAAAGCATTTCATGCGAAGTCCAGAGTATTGAGTGCTAGCCTACCGCATTTTTCACTTTTTTCCTCTCCTTGGCACGTGGAAATCTCGCATAGCTGTACAAGCATTTAGATATATAGCTGTACAAGCAGGTTTTTATAAAAAGGTGCGCGGGCGTAGGGTTGGTTGTTATTGCAAAACAAGTTTTTCATTGGGTGTGGAAACAAATTCTGTATTGCAGTAGTTTAGCGTTACTCTATGACAATTTTATACGAGTGTACAACTGTTCCATACTATCAGATTGGAAACTAAAGCAAATACCGACTTGGCCACTTGCCTTTCATCGCGCTTGGTTTGTATTTGCATATATATTGACTCAATGTAATTTGTTCTCTTTTCTGATTGGCCAGTGGGATTTTACTGCGCATGCGCAGCCAATAAGGCGTTAGTTATATCGATGCGTGACCTAAACTGATCTGTCAGATATGATTTGAATAAGGATGCAATTTTTTCCTTTTTTTAGAAACTAGGTTGCGATCTCATTTTGAATTCCAATGCGAAAGAAGATAAATGTCGAGTGTGTAATGGTAAAGGACAGAATTGTAGAACAGAGAAGGGGGTTAACACCGAGGAAGGCGATGGTAAGAATACAAAAGATAGGTCCGCAATGTACCTTAAAACTGCAAAAGTATTTGAAATAAATATCTAGCTTGGGTTGTTGGAGGTTTTGTGAACGCTTTGAGGCGTGGAGCAGCGGGGTCGGGAAAACGAGCGGCAAGGCCGCGAGAGGCTTGAGGCGGGACATTAGTCGAGTCGGTAAGAATTCAATTTTGTAAGCTCACAGAATTCACCCACCGACCTGCAACTGATGGAATTTGTCTCCTCAGTTGTCTTGGTTCAATTTTGCCAGGTGCAGTTATAAAACATCGACAACCGGTTAGCCCACGACCGACTCAAGTTTCAACCACTTTCTGATTTTTTAAAAATTTCTGTGTAGTGACTTTTGGATACCCAATTGAGAATAGTCGGGTGTTTATATCCTGCAATGTGACTAGTTTTCTTATCAAATTTTGGTCACAAATGACATCATTTTGAGTATTTCATTGTTGGGCTTTTTAATTTTCCACTAGCATTTACCTTGTGTCCTTGTTAAATTGTATTTCAGGATATAAAGAATTCCTGACGATTCCTGCCAGTGCTACCAATATTGATATTCAGGAAATTGCTCCCTCGTCGCATTTCTTAGGTACAACAAACCTAACTATATCTCTCAGTTAGAATGAGCGCTATGATTGGTCAGCGACGCCAAAAATGGCTCCCTCGTCGCATTTCTTAGGTACAACAAACCTAACTATATCTCTCAGTTAGAATGTGCGCTATGATTGGTCAGCGACGCCAAAAATGGCTCCCTCGTCGCATTTCTTAGGTACAACAAACCTAACTATATCTCTCAGTTAGAATGTGCGCTATGATTGGTCAGCGACGCCAAAAATGGCTCCCTCGTCGCATTTCTTAGGTACAACAAACCTAACTATATCTCTCAGTTAGAATGTGCGCTATGATTGGTCAGCGACGCCAAAAATGGCTCCCTCGTCGCATTTCTTAGGTACAACAAACCTAACTATATCTCTCAGTTAGAATGTGCGCTATGATTGGTCAGCGACGCCAAAAATGGCTCCCTCGTCGCATTTCTTAGGTACAACAAACCTAACTATATCTCTCAGTTAGAATGTGCGCTATGATTGGTCAGCGACGCCAAAAATGGCTCCCTCGTCGCATTTCTTAGGTACAACAAACCTAACTATATCTCTCAGTTAGAATGTGCGCTATGATTGGTCAGCGACGCCAAAAATGGCTCCCTCGTCGCATTTCTTAGGTACAACAAACCTAACTATATCTCTCAGTTAGAATGTGCGCTATGATTGGTCAGCGACGCCAAAAATGGCTCCCTCGTCGCATTTCTTAGGTACAACAAACCTAACTATATCTCTCAGTTAGAATGTGCGCTATGATTGGTCAGCGACGCCAAAAATGGCTCCCTCGTCGCATTTCTTAGGTACAACAAACCTAACTATATCTCTCAGTTAGAATGTGCGCTATGATTGGTCAGCGACGCCAAAAATGGCTCCCTCGTCGCATTTCTTAGGTACAACAAACCTAACTATATCTCTCAGTTAGAATGTGCGCTATGATTGGTCAGCGACGCCAAAAATGGCTCCCTCGTCGCATTTCTTAGGTACAACAAACCTAACTATATCTCTCAGTTAGAATGTGCGCTATGATTGGTCAGCGACGCCAAAAATGGCTCCCTCGTCGCATTTCTTAGGTACAACAAACCTAACTATATCTCTCAGTTAGAATGTGCGCTATGATTGGTCAGCGACGCCAAAAATGGCTCCCTCGTCGCATTTCTTAGGTACAACAAACCTAACTATATCTCTCAGTTAGAATGTGCGCTATGATTGGTCAGCGACGCCAAAAATGTCCATGACGGATGTTGAATCACAAACTACTATGACTGAGACTAGACGCTTATTACTTCTGGGGAGACTTACTGTCTTTAACCATACTTGCGATCTTTATTTTTTTAGCTATCCGCCATAGTAGAGCCACTGAAGTGTAGAGCTAATATGTGGCTGACTCTGTAACAGACCGAAGAGTCCTCGTTTCGCAGTTTACAAGAACTGTATAAGCACATACCGAAAAGGATTCCCTATCCGTTTCCGCTAAGTACGAGTTACAACGTATCGCGTAGAATACACATTTTTTTTTGCTCTCTCTTTATTGTTTCCTCTCCAGCTCTCTCTGACCTATTCGGAAATTACTTCTTTAACGGAGACTATCGTATCAGAAACCCCGCTAAGTACAAAGTGGCCGGCACTGTTTTTACCTACCAGCGAACCAGATTTGGACAAGAGAGGATATTCGCTTTGGGCCCCACAACAGTTCCTGTACAGGTTGAGGTAAGTTGCTTTTTATCGATCGCATATGGTTTTTCTGTGCGAATATCCTACCTTTTAATAAGCGCTGTGAATACTTTTCCAAAACAGTATAAAATATTTTAACAGGTCCTTTTAATGGGAGGAGAGGAAAACCCAGGAATTTCGCACGAATATTCTGTGCCAAACTCTGTGGTAATAGACCCTAAGCCAACTCGATTTTCCTGGAAAACCGGCGAGTTCAATAAATGCAGCAAATCATGTGCAGGAGGTAAGAATGTTGAAATTGTGGACTGAACATTTAGAGTTGATTGGAAGAGTTTTTAAAATACAAAACTCGAACATTTGCAAAACTGGATCACTTGTCTCTTTTCGTAAATCGTGACTCAAAAACTGCGCAACGTCATCCCTTGATTACTTAAAAGAATTTTTCCAAATGAAGCTCTTTAGGCTTTTTCAATGAACGTTCAATTTGTTTGTTTGTTTGTTTGTTTTCTTGATTTGATTTTTATTCAGGCGAGCAAAAGAGGAGAGTATTTTGTGTCCGCAATGACAACGGAAAGGAAGTTTCTGACGCAGACTGTGCAGAAGATCAGAAACCATCACCCAAAAAAAGATGTAACACTCAACTTTGTCCCTCAAGGTGAGGCCGAAATACAAGTATAGATGCTGGATTAAGACTGGTTTCTAGATAGGGATGAAAAAATTAGGGTAGCCTCGATACATAGGTCCACTAAAGGTGCCTCGCTCTTTACGAGGTTTGAAAACGGCCCTCCATTACGATTTTTATTGTTGCTGTGATTATTTTGCGGTACTATTGCTATTTTTCGAGCGACACGTGCATCAATGTCTCATTCTCTATTGTGAACCCTCGGTGTGCTTTGAATTAGAGCGCTCCTTGTTTAGAAGCCTGATACCATCGGCTCCCCCTGTTTTCTCTTCGCGGATTGTTTTCTTGTTTTTTGTTTTTTTGCACCGATTCCAATATCGAGGACCATTTCATACTCATAGCAGTTTCTCTGTATTCTTTTTTACTTAGCTTTCTTTGTATTGAACCGTTTTTTTTTTTTTTTTTTTTTTTTTTTTTTTTTTTTGTAGTTGGTTCGTAAGTGTCTGGAGTGCTTGCTCTGTCACATGCGGTCAAGGCAAACAGGTTAGGCGAGTTCACTGTCAGCGCGTGGTAGAAGGAGGGGAGACTGCCATTATCTCCGATGACCAGTGTTCAGGTCCCAAACCGATCATCATGCGCGCATGTCAGATGGAGAAAAACTGTCCTGAATGGTCAATGGGTCAGTGGTCAGCGGTACGTACGTGTAGTTGTTCATTGTGATCGAAATCATTAGTGAAATAATATCGGTTGTTTAACGATAAAGTCGCTTCTCAGACAAATCTCATCCTACAACATTAATAATTATTTGTCCTCGGCGAATTGAGTATCTATGAATTATCCCCGAGACGAGGTAAAGGGGACCGTAGAACAATTTTCACTCAGCCTGGGGCAAATAAATTTCAATTATATTTTATATCTTTGATTCAACTTTTTACATATCAAAAAACAGAGACGTTTGTAATCTGTACTTAACGGGTATAGAGGCTGAATGTAGCGCGATATAATGTGTAGTGGTCGAGTTTTTTTTTTTTTTTGCAGCAGCAGCAGCAAAGTGGTGAGCAGGCCTTGATGTCTGTACCGCCCTTTGCCATAACCCCCTCGCGTGAGGTGATTATACAGCGAGATATGACGTAATCCTTGACTGATCGAAGCGCACGCATCTCTATTACAACTTGAGCAACTATTCTGTCTTGCGATAAACGCTCAAAACTTTTAAGAATATTAAATAACCGATCCACCATACGGTCAAAAACATGTCCTCACCGATCGTTACTCAAATTGCACCCTGCAGTGTTCTGCTTCATGTGGCATGGGCACCAAATACCGTGATGTCACGTGTGAAGTCCTTGAAACGGGTGCCATTTTACCCCCAAAAAGCTGTAACTTCGCTTTGAAGCCGGAAGAAACCATGAAGTGTAACCCAGGTCCCTGCACTGTAACCTGGCTTGCGTCAAACTGGAGCGAGGTAGGTAGAACTTGTCCTTCCAAAAGTTTTGGAATAACAATGAAATCGAGATCCACCTAAGATAGAAGTTAATAATGTCCTACATGGTTGCAATTTTTGGAAGAGACATTTTTCATTTCTCACCATTGTAAGACAATGAAAAAGTCAAGGGGCTAGTTCATTTTATTTTTCGATGTGCTATCACGGAGTTCAGCCCGTATCACAAGGCTCGTATGTAACAACTGCATTTCATACTGCGAAAAGATCTGACGCTCGATTCCTTTTACGAAGTGATTTCTCTTTGTGCTACACCTGTGTTAAACGAGTAACATCTCTCTTCACGATCTCTCTTGTGAATTATCATTTTTGGTTTGTTTGTAAATCGTCAGTGTCATCCCAAATGTGGAAAAGGAATGAGCACTAGAATGGTTTACTGCGTGGGCATCACTAATAACGAGGAAAAGTACCCGGATGAACTTTGTGACAATTCGTCTCGGCCAATCAGCACAAAGAAATGCTTAAGTGAGACGCCGTGCCCCGCCATGTGGCACGCGTCTCAGTGGAGTAAGGTGAGCGGAATAAAACACGTTTTAGTGAATGAAGCCCTCTCCAATGTAATGACTCAAAATCAAAGTAGTTTTATAAACATTTCAACTACGCGGGAATTTCGTATCAGCTCTCGAACAAGCACCCTTCGTTTTCTAATCTGACGAAGTTTCAAGCACCCTTTGTTTTCTAATCTGGCAAAGTTTCGTTTCACAGTGTATTACGGTTTTAATCTGAAAACTCTAAATTTTAGAACAAGAGAAGAAAAAAGGAAAACAGGCATTTGTGTGAATAATGAATTTTACGGGGCTAGGACCAAAATCTATTTCCATCCCCATCCGCTAAAACGTCTGGAAATATGAGCAGTTTGAACTTATAACATCCAAAATAATGCGAGCTCCGCCAACCGTTTCCTAATAACATGTTTGTAAAAGCGTAATGGTCGCAATGAATGATCTACTGTTCCGATCCCATACACTATACCCCTGGGTATGTGTCAGTTATTTTATTTGTGACTTTTATTTTTTCTAGTGTACAGCTACATGTGGCTTTGGAATGCAAATGAGAAATGTTCTATGCGCCAAACGAGAAGGGGCGAAAACCCTCCGCATCGTGCTGAGTGATCAGTGTAAAAAGGAACGTGAGATGTCAAAAATACAAAAGTGTTCAATTCGACCCTGTCAGGCAGGATGGTACATCTACCCCTGGGAACCGGTGAGCGATTAATTCTGGTATTTTAAAATTGGATTCCGCGTAACGCAACTGACATCACAAGAGCCTCAGGGGAAAATAAATCCCCTTCCCTCCCACCCCTCCCCCCCGCTTTCTTATTTGTAGTGCACTCCTAAGAGCCTCGTGTTTAATTTTACTCAGTTATAATGAGTTGTATAAATTGCACTAATAAATTGTGCCAATACTGCAATTTTTTTTTTTTTAAGTTTATCGAATGCAATATTTCAAACCACAATTTACATTCCCTCTTTCCTTTGCTATGTTCTTTTTAGTACTCACGTGGACCCTTTTTTCTGTTTTTGGAGTTTACTTTGAGCTTTTTTGTAATCTTTAATTTGTCACCTGTATCTTGTTTGGAGTTCAAGTCTTTTTCAAGGCTTTATATTACAACCAAGTGCTCTACATATATATCTCTTTTTATTCTAACATATTCATTGCACCTTGTATACAGCAACATTATCCACTCGCACGCAGATATTTTGTATAGGTGTACGTACCAGCATTCAGGTTTTCTGAGTTTTCATCGTTATTCACACGATTAGTGCTCCAAGTCATGTGGCCAGGGTGTCAGACGAAGAAGTATCAAATGCCTTGCTGACTCAATGGAGGATATCCAAGAAAAATGGTGCAAGACAGAAGACAAACCTGTGTCGGAAGAGATGTGTGTCGAGAAAGAATGCGAAGGTTTGCTAGTCAAAATATTTCCCGAACATTAACGTGAGAGCTTATTGCACAAGGACATAGAACAAATGTTAAAGGTTTACAAGCAATCAAGTTGTTTTTTTTTTTTTCAGTTTAACAATCTACTCATGTACAATTTAAGTCAATTAGGTTTTTTTTTGACAGTTTATGCCCTCAGATCTAATTCCGACATCGATAAAAGCATAATCTTTTTCGCAGACTATGCACTTTAGCTGAAGAAGACCGTCTAGACTTTTCACATCAACGCGCCAAGAAGTAACTTTAGTGAAAGAACACAGGGATTCGCTAACAGCGACTTCCTGATTATTTTTACAGTTCCTATGACAGTAACAACAACTGAGCAAAGTACCACTACCAAGCCAACAACACAGCAAGTTACCACAGTTAAGACTGGGACTAAAGTCATTACCACAAGGAGAAAAACCACAGCTGCACCATCCACTCCAATTTCTTTCACCACTGTCACATACCCCACTCACACCAAAACCTTAACGACCATGCCACCTTCCACCGCAGATGAAGCTGTGATTCCTAATACTAACCTCCCCCCAACAACTACCGAAGTACCCCCTACCACCCTACCCCCAACAAATACCGAAGCACTTCCTACCACCCTTCCCCCAAAAACTACCGAAGTACCCCCTAGCACTCTACCCCCAACAACTACTGAAGTATCCCCTACCACCCTTCCCCTAACAACTACCAAAGTACCCCCTACCACTCTACCCCCAACAACTAGCGAAGTATCCCCTACCACCCTTCCCCTAACAACTACTGAAGTACCCCCTACCACTCTACCCCCAACGATTACCGAAGCACTCAGTACCATCCCTCCCCCGACTGAAACAATGACTCCTCCTCCGTCATCAACACCAAAAACCACGACAGTGCCTCCGACAACTGCACGGAAGGTGCAGGCAGCGCAGATCGTCCAACCTCCGAAGGATACAAGTGAGTTGACGGAATTATGAAATACCGAAAAAAGTTCAGGGTTAGATTTTCAAAAATTTGCATAATACGATAAATAATTGAGTTGAAGAAGTATTTCTTTTTTAAAACTTTATTTACTCGTTGCATCTTCCCAATATCTGTCTAAAGAGATGTCTTGTTCAGAAAACATCGAAGTTTCGATAAAAGTACCTTTCTTTTGATATTTAGTAAGAAGGTGCTGAGTGACAAGTTATTTTACGGAGATTTCTGAGCAGTTTTCAACTGGTTGTCGGAAAGCAGAGGCCAAATCATCCGGGGTTGCTTTGTAATTAACTGCGATTGGTCACGCAGGTCAACACGTGAAATCTTGTGAACAAATCAGATGCACATTTAGAACGCATCGGGGCTTTTTCTTCCAGGATTTCCCGCGCTCAGTGTTTTAGTTCTTATTGGCTTCTGTGAGATTTTCCTTTGGTCTGATAAACTGTTTCGATTACTTTGATTTGGTTACGAGTCAACTGAAATTTGCTCGGGTGAAATCTTCGAGCGAATGACGTGGTATGTTTTACATTTTCAGTGGCTTACGTTGGCACCGAAGTTTTGTTCCGTTGCCGAGCAACAGGATATCCAGCTCCCGTCATCAGCTGGCGAAAAGGAGCCATTCCTGTCAGCAGTCTGGATTCGGAAAGGATAAGAATACTTGATAATGGTGACCTGAGGATAATTGACATAAAGCAGGAGGATAATGACGTTTACACGTGCTTCGCAACTAACTGGGTCGGTCCAATGCACACCGTGGAAGCCCGGTTAGCTGTAATAGTCCCAGTCTTCATTTCTGTATCACCGAATAATAAGACCGTGAGTCCTGGTGAAGATGTTATGATCACGTGCAAATCAGGTGGTGTACCAAGCCCCATAGTGGAGTGGTACAAGGACAATTCTCTCATAACCCAGCAGGGGAGGGTGAGAGTGTCAAGAACTGATGTTGTCATTTCGCAAGTTCAGCCTTCCGACAGCGGATACTATCAATGCAGCGGTCGCAATAACTACAGTGGAGCAAGTGACAAAATGTATTTGAATGTTATTAAGAAAGAAGGTAGGTATGGCTTTAGGGATTTCTAAAGATTTGTACATTGTACAGGTGGGAGAACAATAGGACCCTAGTCCCCTTAGGTTCATCCACCTAAACCCAACCCACCCATCCCACCCCGGGGAAGACATCCATCACACAGTAATCTCGTGCGTGGGAAATTAACGTCTCCTACCCCTAGTCCTGCAGGAGACGGGACCTCCGTGAAGTATCTAACCATTTCTTGATGTTATAGAAAGGTAGCATATTCTTCTCAATTATTTTAAAACCTTGAGTGTTGGTCCGGCCGGGGCTCGAACCCTCGACCTCCCGCACAGCAGTCAAGCGCTCTATCCATTGAACTAACTGGGAGGCTGTAGTTTATAATCAATCTGTGCAGCTAATTGGGAAACGTCCACAAAAATCCCCAAGTTCGATCTGTTAAGACGTGGGTAAGGAAAACTGTGGTCGAATTGGTCGTGAGATGAGAGTTCGATGAGATTTGACTTTTTCAAGGTAGTTCACTCTGGATATCTGTTATCCTGGCTTGGGATTTTGATTTGAACGACAACAATAGCCATACCGATGACGACAACGAGAGCGACAGTAATCACAATAACAACGACGATGACGATGACCATGACCATGAAAATAACAAAAACGATAACAATAGCGATAATGATAACGAAAACGGAAGCAATAGCAAAAAATAACGATAACGATAGCGATGTCGATAATGATGATGGCGATAGTGACAATGATAGTGGCGATAGCGATAGCAATAACGATAACGATTGCAATAACGATGGCGATCTCGATAGTTATGACGACGACGAACACGACGATGACGACAGCGAAGACGACGACTGTTGCTATAGTGATCCCATTTTTTATTGAGGCGATTTTGTGGCTATGAACGATGTGTTTCATTATGACCACTTGCTGAGAAATCACTTCGATTTGACTTTTTTCTCTCGCACAGAACCAACAGAGCCTCCTTATAAATGTGAAGACAACCCAGCGATAGCACACTGTCAATTAGTCAGGAAAGTAAATTACTGTTGCATTCCTTATTACAAGAAAGCGTGCTGCAAGACTTGTGAAGATCTTTTACCCACCTGTAATTACTGAACTGGCTTAAGCCAAGAAAAAAAGGAATTTTAGGGCAGTTCAATTTAACGACCGCTGACCTTATAGTGAGTATATAGTTATCACATGTACAGCGGCAGAAAGCTGAACACTCACGAAGTACTCATGCTTTTTACAAAACCAAAAACGTATTTTAAGAAGTACTTTATTGAACTTTTATTAAGTCAATACCACCGGCGAGAATAAAACCGCGCAAGTAAAACTGCTGTTACGACTTTTCGAAGCCATCTTTACTCCATTATTAAGGAAAACGACGGCTGTATTTTTGTTTGAAGTCGAATCTGTAATCGAACTTTTCACTGATTATGGAGCCAAGATTGTTCTATAGTCTAGTAGTTTTATTGCTTAAGTTTCCATTATTAAGTATGTCCACAAATGTAATGTTTTCTTATCACAATGCTACTTGCAGATACAGGCAAAAATGCTTAAAGAAATATTTATAAGAAAGAGTGGAGGCTATATACTAAGCCTGATGGAAACAGTAGATTTGTGCCAAGTTTGGCATTTCAATTTTGCTTCCATTTGCAGGAAAAATAAAATATACGAAGACAAAAACAGTAAACAGAATTGAATTTACGTAGGGCATATTTATATTTTTTATTATTAAGAACCTGTTCATTTGAAGTACCCTTATGCTACGTAAATCTGTCACAGCTTTTGGACATCAAACGAATTTACCCTTAGGTTTGATTTTTTCGCCGGGAAACCGGGCTTCTACTGACAATTTGCATACGATTTTGGGAAGTGGTTTCTGAGAAAGAGGAGGAATGGAGTGGAACACGAGATGGAATTGAAGCATATTTATCTTGTCGAGATTAATTATGCGTGGTAACTAAGCCAGAAAACGGGAAAAGATAGACTAAAAGTAGATAAGTCTGAAAATAAATCAATATGCCGTTTCTAAGCAATGTGCGATTCAAACACTTCCATTTTACAGGGAAAAAACAATAGCATTGTTTCTTTTAAACATATAACTTTTAGTGGATATAAGAATTTTATTATTTGAACAATTTCAAATAGTCAGGATAAAAGACAAAGGAACAGGGTTACTATGCCTTGGAATATGAAGTAAAAACTTAAGGTGGTTATTATAAAATCACCCAAGTAATGAACAGATTAATATGATTAAAAATTTACAAAGAAAAACATAACGAAACGAAACTTTGCACCGGAAGGATATAAATTACAGCTTGTGCAGAATTGTGCAGCTCGCTTAATTTTAGGTGGCTGCAAGTATGATCACAGCGCGCCATTACTCAGAGATCTTCATTGGCTGCCCATTGAACCTCCTTTTACTTTTAAATTACTTTTGATAACTTTAACGGCCCTGAAAAACTTGGTGGCTCCTTGTTACATTTATGACTTTCTGCATATATTCACCACAAATAGACGACTAAGGTCTTCATCTAGTTTTCAACTTTCAAGTTCCTTTGTCAAATCTAAAAACTTCTGGAGACCGAGCATTCTCTATGTGTACCCCCAAGCTGTTACGTGGAACTGTCTTCCCACTGTTATGTTAATCTTAGTTCCAGTGTTACTACCTTCAAGTCATCTCTGAAAACTTTTCTTTTTGAACAATGTTTTATATAATAGGTTGTTTTAAGTTTTATTTTAAAGGATGAACAGGAAAGACTTCTGAAAACAGTTTTAATAGATAAGTGTAAGAATTGCCACGTATGTTCTTAGAGCAGCTACACAATATATTTATCTGTTGTTAGTACACACTGATCGGCTTTTTTATGTAGGAAAATTAGTTAGCATGTATTACTCAGTTTTAATGTAAGTATATATTTGTTTAATATTCATACTTTAGCAGTGTCCTCAATTAGTTTGTCAAAACTGAGCTAAACATCCCGGCTGATACTTAAATAAAGCTTTCCTACCAACCTTCGTTGATCTACTTCTAAATTGATTAAACCATAACTCGATTAAGTCCTCTTGGACCGCCAGAGATACCCCTAAATCACTCTACGACCTCATATTGTTACAATCTTTGACTTTTCCATCATGTCGGAAGAAACTACCACGCTCTTGAAAACATTAATCTTAGGAATGCTAATTTACGTTATATTAGGAAACTTGTAAGTTTCAAAACGCAAGATTGTAAATTAATCAAAAAGGATGCTATTCCTCATTATTACTCATTGCTTTCCAGGGGAAACGCCCGAGGTTTTGCTTTTATTTTTGCTGTTATTCACAAATCGCACCAAACCTTGCTTAATTTAGATTGCAACCACAACTACACAAGTTGTGTTGGTATTGAGAGAGAATTTTTGGCATGCAAGTTTCAAAACGGAAAAATGGTGAATACAGTGAAAGATATGTCATTTTTTTTAACACATCTTCCGGCTTTCTTTACAGCGTCATGAAAGAAAGTCCTTAATGCAGATATGAGAATTTGAGATGAACTTAAAGTTACACTTTAGCTATCTCCGCTCGTTTAAGATCTGCGAGCGGAAATTATTTGAGCGTGAAAAATATTGAGCGAAGTGTTTTTACCACTATGAATCTCGCTGATATTAAAATTATCTTTCATTTTGCGCCGAAAATAAAAACATTCAAAATATCATGTTATCACCGAGATGTCTATTGGCGAGGTCTTAATGTCGTACTGTTGAAGGTACTGTCTGTTTCGCGATGCAACTCGCCTTTCCGCTTAATGACTGCCACGAACCGTATAATATGCCAAGCTTTAATAATTATTCGATCTAAGAGAACTACATTTGTAATTGGAAATCAGTAAACACAAATTAAGTCTTAGTCTCGTAGCAAAATTCAAGAAAAACATGATTGGAAACTTACTTCTGTGGCGGGTCGTAAAAACAGGTTTCTCACTTCAGGTTAGCAGATTCGGGTAAGCGAACAGATATAAAAACCGACTTCTCTCTCTTACTGATTCTTCTGAAAAAACTGGTTTAAAACACGACAAGCTAACACTTATAAATCATTGTAAGGAATTAATGTCAATCACGAGTTGTGTTAATTAAAATATATTGCCATCAAACGCAACGCCTATTTACCAAACGAAACAGTCCATGCCGTGTACGTAGCACGACAGCCACCAATTCAAGCCACACGCTATCCATTCCTAACTTATTACTTCATTTCACCATCAGAAGCGGTAATAATTTTTGCATAAAAACTTTGGTCTATATTTGTCACGCCAAATTTTTCAGCGTGCGGAACTTGAACACTCTGAGACGACTGAAGCTATTTTTGATTCGTTATTTTTGTTTTCTGAATCTGCACGAGGAACTTAGTTTTATGATCATTTTACGAAAGTTCATTTCTGAACATAAAACGAAATAATTTTTGCTGAACTCATGCATATTTTCTTGAAATCACCAGGCAAGCAAGTTGCTACAAGAGTGACACTGTGTAACGCAATATGTCACATAATGTGACGCGATGTTTTTGATGGAGAATTTTCATTCACAAAATATTATTAGCAAAGAACAATTACGTCTATTATCAGCTAGTAAGTTCCTCCAAGGAAACTATGTGTAAAGAGATTTCTTCAATGAAGAGTGCAAATACGGTAAACTGTCTAAAAAGCCCCTTTTCACTTCCATGACGTCATGAAACCAAAAATAGGACCGTGGTAAACAGTGGATATAAAAAGGATCGAACCAGAAAGCTATCGACTATTTGCAATATCGGAGCTTGTTCACACAAAGCGTGTCGTTTCTTACGAAGGAAATTTTTGTTTCGCTAGCGAAGGGTACGAACATGGCTGGAAGATTTGGCCTTGTGCAAAAACAGAATGGTTCGAAAGTTCCTTTGGAGAGCATCAATATTAAAGTCGACGTGCAGGGTTTTACAGCTCATGTGTTGGCGACGATGAAATACTCGAACATGGAGAGCAATCCCATTGAAGCAATTTTTGTTTTTCCACTGGATGAACAGGCAGCTGTATGTGGATTCCAAGCAACAATCGATGGTCGAACCATCGTGGCAGAGGTACAAGAGAAGCAAGAAGCTCGAGATACCTATGACGACGCCATTAGCAGCGGTCACAGCGCGTTTCTGTTGGAAGAGAGTGACGAAAGCTCAGACATTTTTCAGATTAGCGTCGGAAACTTGCCACCAGAGAAGGAGGCTGTCGTCGACCTACGGTTCGTGACAGAGCTTGCTGTTGAAGCCGAAGGTCGAGTCGTGTTTGTGCTGCCAACGGTATTAAATCCTAGGTACTCTCCACAAGATACTACTCCAAGTCTGAGCGCACAATATCCTCGAGTCGCCGCCGTTTCGTCGCCGTACGGGTTCGAGTTTGAGATGAAAGTGAAAGCTATTTCCTCCATTAGTGAGATTTCCTCCTCCTCTAACAGTTTGCAGGTTGAGATAAACGAGAGCGATGTAACGGAGGCTAATGTAACCCTTGCAGAAGCACACAAGTTTGACAGAGATGTGGAAGTACACATTTTGACGAGCGAGCCGTTCAAACCGCAAGCAATCGTGGAGAGAGGAGTGAAAAGAGAAGGAACGGAAGACGAGGAAGGATTTATGGCAAGTCCTGTCGTCATGCTAAATTTTTTCCCAGAGTTCAAAACCTCAGAATTGTCGGAAAAGGGCGAATTTGTGTTTGTGGTCGATCGCAGTGGAAGCATGAGCGGAAGCAAGGAAAACAGCGCTCGGGAAACACTCCTTCTGTTTCTCAAAAGTCTGCCGGACGGTTGTTATTTTAATGTTGTGGGTTTTGGAAGCAGCTACAAGACGCTGTTCAGTAAAAGTCTCCTGTACAATGACGAGAATTTGAAGAAAGCTACCGATCTTGCTGGGAGCATGAAAGCAGATCTCAGGGGAACCGAAATCCTCTCCCCTTTGCAGTGGGTGTTCTCTCAGCCCCTCGTTAAAGGTCACCCAAGACAGCTGTTTCTCTTGACAGACGGTGAAGTTGGAAATACACAGCAGGTTATCAGTTTGGTCGAAAAGCACTCCAACAGTGCCAGGTATGCTTTTTGGCTCCTTTTCATTAGAAATGTTTTCGTTTATGTTTGTTTGGAAATGTGTTATTTCCATATTCCACAATTTTAATATATAGTTATCCCATGTAGAATTTTTGTTCTCTTTCACTTTTTAGTGGTCGAATGCTCTTAGTACCCCCTATATATGCAGTGGAGCTGGAAAGGGAGGGCAGGGGGACATGAGCTCCCATCAGGGTCATGCTTGGTGAAATTACGTGTCAGTAGCACTTTTTCATTTGAAAAGCTCCAAACTGTGTGCAAATTTGGGTATATACTCGGCTCAGTATACATTATCATATGACCCGTCAAGCCCCGCTCGTGCAATCCCATGGAAAACCATACTGACGTGTGCAGGGCTGGATGGGTTGATGTGAGCCAGTCCAGAAAGAACTTTCTGGCTCTACTGCTCTTGTGTTGTGCAATATCCTTCAATCTCAGCTTGCCATGCCTGATATATTACAATGTTATTCCCCACCCAGAAAGTCATGGTAATAATCTGTTATGCTTCCTTTAAATGACCTTCTAGTACCTCACAGGGGTTTTCTCTCAAATGTTTTGGCAATAAGCTGTAAAAAAAGAAAGATGATGTGGAGAATAAAGAGGTGTTGAAATTTTTAAGAAAAGTTTGTCAGGAATTACTACTACAAGTATAAAGAGGATAAGTGGAACAGAATTTATTGAAATGTAATCAGGTGTTGGGAAATGAGTTGAATTTTAGTGGCAGTGAAAAGTTTTACTTCTGTTTCTTATGGAAGAAATAATATTTTTGTATTTAAAGTCTACCATTCTCCCAACACATTTTCTTCTTGACCTGATTCTGTAGAAGAGTCTTTTTTTGTGACTTGATTGTGTTCAATTATTGTAGGTGTTTCACATTTGGCATTGGGGCTGGTGCATCAACTGCTCTTGTTAAAGGAGTTGCCAGAGTAGGAAAGGGGACTGCAGAGTTTGTCACGGCCAAGGAGGACCGACTACAGGCTAAGGTTTGAAAGTATTGGTAATTCCTCTGAAATCTGTTTAGTTCTAGTCAAATTTCCACAATCGGTAACCATTAACCCTTTTATTCCCTGAACTGATCAACATATAACTTCTCCATTTAATATCCATACATTATCCAGTAAAGAGGTAGTGAGAATACTCAAATTTACGAGGGAGAAGCAGTTATCCTGATCTAATGCCAAATTCTTGTAACTAATTGACAAGGAAATGTGTAGTAGCTTGTGGGGAGAATTACAATGAGATCGTGGGACTTAAAAGGGTTAAACACCCTGATTAACGACCACAAAACTGTGTGTTGAACCTTGTACTTCCAAGGCTAGAGAATTTGATATTGACAGTATTATATCTTATTAACCAAGCGCAAGGGCTGTACTGGGAGAATATTGGCCCAAGGTCTTGACAGTACGGACCGAGCGCAGCGAGGTCCGTACAAAAGAGACAGAGGGCCAATATTCTTCCAGTACAGTCCCGAGCAAGCTTGGTTAATAAGAGATTTATTGTACGACTGAAGTTCAAAGGGACACAAGTGCGGTATCCTTCGTGACCATTCGGGACAGTGCCCGGTCCAATACTTAGAGAATATTGGACCGGCAATAAAGCATTTTGATTGGTTGATTTTAGTTTTTGGCCNTTTTTTTTATTTATCTATTTATTTTTTGATCTAGTCAAGCGCGCGCTATTTACATCTTTCGCGTTTTTAACATTCAAATGTAACGTAAGCCCTGACACGTAGTTTGTAACGTACCTTAATTTAAATTCAAATGTACAACAGTTAAATGCTCATTTGCAACTGAAGATGACATGAGAATGTCGAAACATGTCTTGTAAATTTAAACTCAAAGTTGTTGTTTCTTTTTTGAGAGATTTATTATACGACTGAAGTTCAAAGGGACACAAGTGCGGTATCATTCAGGACCATTCGGGACAGTGCCCAGTCCTATCTGAGACAATATTGACCGGCAATAGAGCATTTTGATTGGTTGATTTTAGTTATTGACCCTCTGACTGCCCGAGTCGTGTAATAAATATTGTTACTGACATTAATAATCACTACAATGATGTTGTTCATTATTTTAAACTTTCTTTGTGCCTGTTGTTGCTGTTATCTGGGCTCCAGAATGCATCATTGTGTCAAGACCTTTTAAAATGCTGATCCACTTGACAAGTTTTGCACCTGTTGAAACAACTTGTTTTTTTTTAATCTAAATCTAATCTGCTCTTCTGTACTGCCCACAAAACCTCCTACATTAAAGTACTTTTTTTTTTTTTCTGCATAAAAGTGGCAAATCTAATGTTCTGTTCAAAGGGAGTTGTATTTTTCTGCTTTTGTGTAATTTTTTTTCTTGACTTTGTTTTAATGTGGGATGAAACTGGGACAAAACACTCAAATGACAATCATCTCCATATGTGGCATATTTGTTAAATGCAAAGAAAACTTTTTGTCTACAAATTTAGGTCTGAATTTCCTTTTCTGCTTTACATTTCCTGGTTGTTGTTTCCAAGAATGTTTGTGTAAATATTCACTGACTCACCTTGAGGCTGACCAAAGTTTGCCTTCTTGCTAAGAATTGGTGCTACATGTAGGTACACAGTAGTTATGAAAATGACATAATGGTCTGAGGAAGATCTGCAGTAGCCGCAATTGCTCTTAAACACAATTCTTGCTTAGATACAAATTACTTAGTAGTCCAATTGTAGCAGTATGCATATGTAATTACCAAACTACACAGCTGGAAACCCAATCAAAGCTCAGTGTTAAATTTATCATTATGCACTTTAAACCTCCTAAAATGTAGTAACAAATAATGTAAAGGTATAAACCACATTGTAAAATGAATAACTGTACAGACTTCATAAAACTATTACACCAGTTATCTCTAATCATATTTCATATATACCACTAGAATATATATCATCTGAATTTATTGTGATATGTTGTAATGTTACTGGAGTATATTTATTGTCCTTGTCTGGAAGTTATTTGGAATTCAGGATACTGAATGTGTTTCTACATAATTGTAAGGCCCCAATTTTGTCATTTTTCTTACTTTTTGATTTTTTAATTGTATAAACTTAAAAAGAGTGGCATTTTATTTTTGAAATTTTATTATTTGTGTGATCAAGAAAGTTTTATAATGAGCCTGCATGCAGTGTTAAAAACAGAATGCCAAGCTATGCCATGGCACATTTTAGTGATTTAATTTCATTCAACAAACAATGACTCTCGGATATATTTCACTTAAATCGTATAATGACTAGTGTATGCAGTGTATGTGAAACTGTGGTGGACACAAGCTGAAACAAAGGTGAAGTAGAAGTCATGAATAAAAATGTGCATTTAGATTCCATGCTCTTTGCAATTCAACGCACTAGGAGAACTCCTGGGTGAAATTTAAGGAACATTTAATTTCGAATATTCACACTAACTGGTTATTAAGACATTGAAGCAAGCTCTTCAACCTGTCATCACAGACGTGAGCGTGACTTGGGAACTAGAGAGTGGTTGGACTGTGTACCAGATCCCTCCATATCTCCCTTCGCTATTCAGTGGAGACAGGCTTGTGTTGTATGGTGTTCTCAAGGCGTCTGAAAATGCAAATTGTGGCGTGAGCAAAGTGAAGTTACAAGCCACACTTGAAAATGAAACAATACGTATTTGGTAAAATTTTCTCCACCAGCTTTGTTCCCCAGCAGTACAGGGGAAAGAATCCTTCTTCATCAGCTCTCAGCCAAGAGTTTGATTCAGGAAAAACAAGACGGTTTCGGTGAATCACTCAAACTTGGCCAAGGCTTCGAGGGAGAAAAATGGGCATAATCAACATCAGTAAATCAGCAAATGTGGTATCAAAGTTCACTTCGTTTGTAGCAGTTGATAAAGAAAGTCGTCAGCCTGTGCCAGGTCCAATGAAAACTACGCCCTTATTCGAAGTAGGATTTGAGATGTTCCGTCGCAACTCCAGCACGACGCATGTGTTTAAAAGTGTTGCGTAGCAGGTCCCGAAAGCGTCTCACAGGTACGAAAACAACTCCAGAACCTTGTAAGAGAAAATGCTGGACCAAGTTGAAAGGATTCGTCTCCTCGCTGTTTGGAAGTTGTCGAACAAAACAAAAAAAGGCAGCAGCACTGACGGAAACATCACTCGAGGGCACAGCTACGAGAGAACCTTTAACTTTTGATACTATCTCACTACCGAAAGGTTCTCAATCTGCTACATCGGTAGTCTCATTACAGAAAGCGTCCTGGTCGTGGGACCTCACAGACGAGCTGGTGTCCCTGTGCGATACAAGCTGAGATGATTTGATCACAAAATGTCCAAAAGAGATTGAAGCAGACGCAGCTGGAGGAAAGCTATTGTGGGCCACAGCCCTGGCTCTGGTGCTGTTGATGGGAAGGTGAACGGATAAGAAAAATGAATGGGAAATGATCGCTGAAAAAGGCAAAAAATGGCCGAAGAAGAATCTTCCTTCGACTATTATTGTCGCTAAAATATTGGAGACGGCAGCAGTTACAGTTGGGGTTTGAAATGAAGTCGGGTCTTTAAATGCACTCAGACGCACGTTAGTTGTGTGCTGCTATACCATGAAATTGCTAGCCTGAGTGTTATTCTTACATGTATTTATATTGCTCGTTGTTTAAAGCGCGTTTTCCTCTGAGGAAAAAGTTGCATAGAGTGTATATTGTTTTTCCGAGCACCAGCGAGCGTTAAACGAAGTCTAACCGGCTTAAATGTATTTTAAGGTTAATTCTTTTAAGGACTGAAGTCTTGATGTGTCTAGGGCCGTCATTTTCAAGAAGTGTCTTTTGTAATATATGTGCTGAACCATTAGGTTTTATAACTCTTTTCGACTTAGTTCACTCGTCAGTTCTTTTGTTAATCATTGTAATAAAGTTTATTGTTATGTTTGCCCTTGCGCTACATGATTAGAGAGAGAGGACTACAGTGGGTAGCGAACATCTTGGCACGCGCCACCTCTTTTTAAATGTGTTCTCTAAATGTGAGTGCCCCTATAGCAAGAGTTTCTGTTCATTGTTTGATTTGGTAAATAATCTTTTGAGTCACACTAGGTGGCTCGTCACGCGCTCTTAAGTGTAATTCAATATATTTGATAAGAGGCCCTTTGATCAGTTTTTGGTAAGCACTCGTGCTCGGAAGGAAAGAAATCAGCAAAGGAAAGAAAGGAAAGGTTCGATTGATTTAAACTCTCGCCAGATCCAGCAATAATATAAGTTGATGTACCTGAAGCATTTCTTAATCTATCTGCATGTCCCTAATTTCTTAAATCAATTTTTAGTTTCACGTTATTATACAATAATAAAGAAGGAGACGTTCCCAAAGAAGTTTGGTGCGGTGCATTGTATTTACCAGTGGATTTTGTGCGGTCCAGCTACCGGTGGACAAGCGCCGCTATACTAAATTTCATTTATTCCCCCCCCCTCCCCCGCACAGTTCAATATGGTTTGGTGTGAACGAAATGTCCTCTAATGTTTTGAATCAGAGGAACGAACATTCTGTATATTGCGCAAATCGTGGGCAGAGATATTTGTGGCCATTTTCCACATTTTATCGTTCTGGAATGTTTTTCCTTTTTTAACAACCACCCTCTAGTTTCAACAGTGCAGATTCAAGACTGCACTTTTCCTTTATTTTCCGCCGTCCACAAGGCAAGAAGTCGGTGGCCCTTGGCTAAGTTTGTGTTTTTCTTTTATTCTCCAGCTTAGTGTGGATGAGGATTGATGTCACGGTTGTTGTTGCCGCCGCTGCTGCATTTTCGCTGCGTTCATACTACCAAACAGAACAACCACCGTCTATTTTAAAAGTTATTATTGCGCACGAAAGTGAAATGCTGCGAAATAAGTTATCTTAGACTAAAGCAGTTTTCTACTTTAAATGAACAGGTTATCAAGACATTAAAGCGAGCCCGACAACCTGTCATCACAGATGTGAGCGTAAACTGGAAACTAGACAAAGGTTGGACTGTGCACCAGATTCCCGCATCTGTTCCTGCGCTTTTCAGTGGAGACAGGGTTGTGGTTTATGGCGTTCTGAAGGCGTCTGAAAATGAAAACTACGGCAGCGGAGTGAATGAAGTGAGACTTGAAGGTAACGCAGAAAATGTCGATCAAGTGTGTCACATCATTCAGTTTGCAACCCCCGACGTAGAAGACAGCTGGGACAATGATGCAGGAACCGAAGGAAAAGTCCTTCTTCATCGGCTAGCAGCGAAGAATTCTATTCAAGAAAAACAAGATGACGTCATTGAATCAAGTGACAGCGGGCCAAGGACTGAGAAAGCCAAGAGCTACGTTATCAGCATCAGTAAGACCGCTAATGTTGTATCAAAGTTGACGTCGTTTGTGGCTGTTGACAAAGACAGCCGTGAGCCTGTGTCTGGACCACTTCAAAAGCGAGTACCTTACCTTGCCTCGATGTCATTCTTTGGGGGCGGTGGTATGAAAAGTGCCTCTCGTTTTAAGTGTAAGTCCCAAGGCTTCTTTTTTAACACGGCACAGTGTGCCAACGTCTCGGGAGGTGGAAATGCATTCGCAGCTCCTCCTCCTCCTCCTCCTGGAGTGATGTCTGCCAATGTTTGGGGAGGCGGAAGTGCATTAGTGGCCCCCGTTGAAGCAGCGGTCCATCCGTCTGGCAGTGTCTGGGGAGGTGGAAGTGCATTCGGAGTTCCTCCTCCTCCTTCTGGACCGATGTCCACTTCGTCAAAAGGATTCTTCTCCTCGCTGTTTGGGAGCGCACATAAGAAAAAAGGCTCCTTTAGTGCTCCCCCAGTTTCCGCTCATAACAAGAAAGAGAAAGTTGTACACTCTTCCTTGTCAGTTATCTCATTACAGAAAGCGTCAGGGTCGTGGGACCTCACAGACCAGCTGGTGTCCCTGTGCGATGCAAGTAGAGATGATTTGATCAAAATATGTCCAAAAGAGATTGCAGCCGACACAGCCGAAGGAGAGCTGTTGTGGGCCACCGCCCTGGCTCTGATACTGCTGATGGGAAAATACGCGGATCAGAAAGATGAATGGGAAATGATTGCTGAAAAAGGCACAAAATGGCTGAAAAAGAATCTTCCGGGGAGTTTAACCCTGGATCAAGTGCTTGAGAGTGCAGCAACTGTAGTAGGAGTTCGGCTTAAAACTGGACTGTGACTGGCCAAATATTCCAATTACTTTAAATCTTTCTACAGTTATCTCAGTGTCCCTTGCACAAGTTTGATGTAAAACTTTAACTCAATAACTACTAAGGACGCAAACCTTAAGCCGCCCGTCAGACCGAGTGTACGCAGGTGCTGATTCATATGTAATCAGAACAAGGAAAAAAAATAGATTTTGTTCAATCTGACCAGACAATTAGGATTGATAATTAAATTTTCCTTGTTCGTTGATTGGTCCGACCGATCTATTTCAGATCAGTGGTTACATTCCCAGTTAAAGTAGTGTTTTAGTATGAGACCAACCAATGTTCACAGTCTTAACTCGTTAATTTACATGACTTTTTTTACCAACTTGCTCTAAAATCATTTAAAGTAAAAAGAGAAACATCGGTGTTACACTTGTTCGTTGAACAACAAACATATGAAATACATATATATGAACTGCGGTTATGAAACGTATATGTGCACGATCCTTCGCAGTAAAGCACTATTTAAGCAATAGTGAAAATCAGACCTGAAAAAAAAAAAAAAAATTCAGGCCTGTACGGGATTCGAACCACTGACCTCTGCGATACTAGTGCAGCGCTCTACCAATTGAGCTAACAAGCCAACTGGGAGCAGGCCATCAAATTAATTCGACATAAACCCGTAGATGATAAATCAAACAACAAACATATGAAATACATATATATGAACTGCGGTTATGAAACGTATATGTGCACGATCCTTCGCAGTAAAGCACTATTTAAGCAATAGTGAAAATCAGACCTGAAAAAAAAAAAAAAATTTTTTTTTTTTTTTTCAGGTCTGATTTTCACTATTGCTTAAATAGTGCTTTACTGCGAAGGATCGTGCACATATACTTGTTCGTTGCTTACTATTGTCGTTTAGCAACTCCTTTTTTCAACTAGCTTAAGGCCCGTGCCAGGTAGCGAGTTCGTGGTAACTTGCGAAAAATGGGAAGCTGGCGAAAAAAAAGAAAGAAGGGTACTAGAAAAATTAAGGGGCTAAAAGCCCCGAAAGTCTTAATCTCATCCGCCCATTCGTTCGTCTCAACTTATTGAAAGCTTGACACAAGCTCTGCGATGCCATCGTTGTTGTTGTTGTTTTTTCACGTCTCTAGCAGCCTTCGTGAGTGCTTGTAACATCACTGATAATTTGTGAAAGCCGCCAGAACAACTTAAGTCACTGAGTCGCAAATCTCAAACCATTGTTTATGAAATACTCAGCAGGCATATAATCTTTCGCGAATGCCTGTTTATGTCTTGTAAGTTGTGTGATTCCTGTTTTTGAATGTCAAAAAAGCTCGGAAAATGTACAGCGGTTGCGGTGCAAAGTAATTGTAGCGTATTACATAGGATGAGGAAGTGCAGCCGAAGAATTTTCACAATTTGAATTAGTGTCATTAAATAGAGGTATTACACACGCATGTAACATTCCTATAAATAAATAAAAAGTGAAGTAGCATTATGTCATGAAAACAAAGATCGGAAAAGAGAAAAATGTGAAAAACTTGCATTCGTTCATTATTGGGGTTTAACTGCTTGACTCAAACGAGTGACCCAAGCCTTTTCCTACGGAATTACGTGTAAAACCTGTACCCACGATTGCTAGACTAGATTTGAAAACTATGAGTCTATTGTTTTGCGAACGACGATGACTTTCGGCTGACCACGCGGAAAGAAGTTCGTAAGGTTATTTTGATTTCTCTCCAAGGCCGCGTTGTCTAAGTTTGATTTTTTCAAATTCTTCCAGCTTTGTGTAGATAGGTTTATGACGACCCTGTTGCAGCCGTTGATGTATTCGTAAAGACCTTATTGGTATTTAATCGAGGGAGGCTGGTGCTTTCTCACCTATCAACATGATTCCTACTACATTTAAACATAATTATTGTACACGACAATGAATTGCTGGGAAATGATAAGTGCTTTTAGACTTAAGTAGTTTTCGACTTTGAATTAACAGGTTATCAAGACATTAAAGCGAGCACGACAACCCGTCATCACGGATGTGAGCGTAAACTGGAAACTAGACAAAGGCTGGACTGTGCACCAGATTCCCGCATCACTTCCTGCACTTTTCAGTGGAGACAGGCTTGTCGTTTATGGCGTTCTGAAGGCGTCTGAAAATGAAAACTACGGCAGCGGAGTGAATGAAGTGAGACTCGAAGGTAACGCAGAAAATGTCGATCAAGTGTGTCACATCATTCAGTTTGCAACCCCCGACGTAGAAGACAGCTGGGACAATGAGGCAAGAACCGAAGGAAGAGTCCTTCTTCATGGGCTAGCAGCGAAGAATTCCATCCAAGAAAAACAAGATGACGTCAATGAATCAAGTGACAGCGGGCCAAGGACTGAGAAAGCCAAAAGCTACGTTATCAGCATCAGCAAGTCGGCCAATGTTATTTCAAAGTGGACGTCGTTTGTGGCTGTCGATAAAGACAGCCGTGAGCCTGTGTGTGGACCGCTTCAAAAGCGAGTACCTAACTATGCCTCGATGTCTTTATTTGTGGGAGGTGGTAGAAGAGCAAAGAAAAAACGATTCTCCCTTTGTCCGAGAAGGAAGTGTGGAGCCATACCAAAGAAATTGAAAGCAATGAAAGCAGCAAAATCGCATCCACCTAAAAAATCAGAGTGTCTAGGGGCACCTCAAGCTGATGCCGATGAGGAGAGTGGCAGTGAAATTGATGACGAGTCATTTGGGGTCCTGAGCTACAAAGTTTCCGCTTATAGCCCGAAACAGAAAGATACCCAGTCTGACTTGTCAGTGATATCATTACAGAAAGCGTCAGGGTCGTGGAACCTCACAGACCAGCTGGTGGCCCTCTGCAGTACAAGAAGAGATGATTTAATCAAAGGATGCCCGAAAGAGATTGCAGTTACCACAGCTGAAGGAAAGCTGTTGTGGGCCACCGCCCTGGCTCTGGTGCTGTTGATGGGAAAATACGTGGATCAAAAAGATGAATGGGAGATGATCGATGAAAAAGGCACAAAATGGCTGAAAAAGAATCTTCCATCGACTGACGCATTCGCTAAAGTACTGAAGAGTGCAGCAGCTGTGGTTGGAGTTCAAGATATTCCCGAGATGTGGTGAGGAACTGGAAAACCATGCTCCAGCATCATGAAACTGGTTCAAGTTGATGGAGAGATTTCTCGATATTTATAATGATTGACAATGTCCACGGTGCTACTTGAAGAAAATTTAGAATTAATTTAGGGGATTATTCAACATAAGTAAAAAACTGGAGCACGGTTATTCAATTTAGTTTCAGCACTAGTTTGTAAGAAGGTATTTGGCAGGTTTATGATATCTAGCAAGAAGCCGGTTGAGTGTCCTTGCTATATTCATCTTGCGTGAGGTGATTATCGTGAGGTTTGGAAAGATCTACGGCCTATCAGAAGATGAGACGGAATCTTTATATTCAGGTCTGAATGTTACGCTTCAAGCAAGGGTATATTTGTTCAACATTAAGTTGGCTAATCAGGATCGGAGGAGATAAAACCATTAACTATAACTGTATAACAAAATAGAGAATAACCAATTTTATTAAAAACTGGATCATTGGGTAATGCAATTCAAGACTTTTTATTGGCTTAGCCATTATGGTATATGAGCCAATATACCATAATCTGATATCTGTACATTGTAACATCCAGTTTCTTCCTACAAAATAAAGTCGAGAAGATTTGCCTAATATCTTGGGGGCCTTTTTTATAATAAAAGAATTATTCCACTCGCGCTTGTTGGATATGAGATGATTATAGCCAACTCGGCGCTACGCGCCTCGTTGGCTATCTATCATCTCATATCCAACGCGCCCTTGTGGAATAATTGTTAAATATATGCGTGTATGAAGCTTGTTTTGAGAAGTTTTCTTTTCTCCGGTGACATGAACTCTTTGTATATCCGTGCCGGGCCACATAAAATTTTTGGTGCGATGATGCTGTTATTTTGTTAATACAAATGGTTTCTACCGTGTTTTGGAGGAGGCTTTCTGACCGGGGTTTTTTTTTATAATATCAGCTACCTGTTTTGCAGGTTAACCTGCATAAATACCAGCTTATTAGTCCAAGACGTCTTTTGTTTAAACTGCCATGGAACCGTACATACGTTTTAACGTTGCGCGACTCTAAATCGTTTGTATGTTATGCATTTGCCTGTTTTTTTTTTACAGGAAAGTGTAATAAAACACCGTTTTTGCAAAAATGCTAATGCACTCTTAAAAATCGAAAACAATAACAAAGAATGGCTCAGTTGAAAAAGAACCAAAACAACTGCCGGCTAGTAAAAAATGGTGAAAATTTTGCATTTTAAAAAGTACTTTCGCGAAAGGTAGCAAGCTTTACTGTTTAGTCTACAAGTTTTCGCTTTTGCGTCAACGTTCGGAAATCTTTTCCTTCCCATCCCCTCCTCCAACCCCTTTGCCACGATGATTCAAAATAAATGATCCGTAAAACACATTCGCCACATGCCGCAGTTCCTCAAAGTTCTCGTTTCACTTTAATCTATAATTTATTATTTGTTTCCCCTTCGTTTCGCTGGTTTCTCATCGAAGAAAGTGACTTCACGCGAAGACGCAATGTTTACGTTCGTTTACGGCGTGTAGAGTTTGATATTTTAATCAAAGTAGCCATTAGCATTTGCGGGAAAAAGTTATACGCGATTTTTTTCATGGTATTTGGTAAGTACAACCATTAATGGTTCTCTTGCTTCAATGGTCCAAAGAAACCTTTAACTTTTTCTAGCAAAGATCATAATATTTAAAAGCCGCTTTGAAACACCCAGTGAATTTAAATCTAAATTGGAAACAGTCCAATTACCTTTGAAAGGAAGAAATTGTTTTCCTTAAACCCATCAATACTGCGAACGAATAGAGATACAATAAAAGGACAAACCAGTGGAATGTGCGACGTAGCTTGACGTTCGCGTCGATGGTAAAAAAAACCCAAAGTTTATCAGGTGTTTAATATTTAATTTGCACTCGCAAACAATGACGACTTTGATTAAAGGACAGCCTTTTGACTTGTGAAGAACTAACGCTCTTTCGATTTGCTATAGGTTTTTTAAAGACCTTCCACGGCAAGAATTAACCACTAATTTACGTGGCCTCCTACAGTAAATTGCAATTTCAAATTTCAATACTATACATAGCAATGTAGCGTCTTTCAATTTTAAAATTAATCAAGTGATAAAAACAAGAACAGAAGCTTGGCGGTAAATACAACTGGGTGGGATCGAATCGGTTTTAGTTTGTGTCATACGACAGAAAAATAGTGCACTGAAAATCGGCCAATGAGTAAATTGAATTATCGACCTGAAATAAGTTCATTTGTGAAATAAGCCAACAGTCTTCCTTACCCTCAGAAGCAGTCTTATCCAAAGTCCAGGACGGAACAGAATAATGTGAACTCAGATGAAGAAATGTCGAAAAGATTTCAAAGCAATCTCGACCAAATTCGAACACCAGGCCCTTGGACGTGATGAGCAGTGATATCTGTCTTTCGCCAAAAGGTGCTCAAGAGGATAATCAGAAATGAGCAAGGGAAAAGGTTTGAGGAGAGTTTATGTCATTAAAATTATCACACTAGCAGTTAGTACACAGTTGACTGAAGTTTTCCGATGCAGAGAAATTATACTAAAAGTCGGGAAAATGTTGAGGTGGAAGAATGCCCCAGAGATAGTTTAATTTTCTGGTCGCCATCTAAACGCACTTATAAACATCTACGAAGTACCGCATTTTGACATCGCAAAGAGTAACCTAACTGTTTCACTGAGCGCCACACTCAAATGTGCTGTAGATCCAACTTGGATTGAACCAATTTGGGAGATACACTTACTAACATGGCCGTAAAAGCAGATACGAGGCAGAACAAAATGGACAGTTTACAAAGAGTTTCTCCTCTTGTTTGTTCACAGGGATCAGCTTAGCATGGTAAAAAGGGAAATGAAACCTTGTCACGTAACAAACAAGTGGCCCGGTTGCTTAGCAAAATTAAATACTGTGGCGCGCATTTGCTAACAATTTCTTTTTCGAAGGTTTTGGTTTCTTTGTGAAACTCCGAAACGTGCTCATTGTCATAATTTCATAAATACATTTCAAGGACGGGGACGGAAATTGTACAGTTCCTGGGGCACACTTCTTCTTTAACTCATCTCGTCAGAGAGTAGAGAAGGCACAGATAATATGGCTAAATGCGTCTGTCCATCTTCTTGTGGATATCTGTTATCGTCCTTTTTTCATGAATTTACTGCAAATATGCAACGATGTAAAAAATGACAAAAAATTGTCCCCGCAAATGACCTTGGTCATACCATGACATATGCCCCTAACGATAGTTTTCCTTCTAACCCTCTAGAGGTACCGTTGTTAATTGTCCCTTTATATCCTATCAGAAGCAGGAAAAATACAAGTCTACGTCCGTGTACGTCCTTTTACGGAGAGAGAAAAGGACAAACGAGAAGTGAATGCGATTGAAATTCATCAAGAGCACTCGCTGGTAAGCAAAGTGAATTGTGAAATAGGACAGCGTGTAGATGTGGCTACTTCTACTTCTGCCACAACAACGATCTTTTCTGTGTGTCATACGATTTAAGTTTGTGATAATTAAATGGATTTTGTCCATTACAAGACTATTAGCTTACGTTTGTGCTCGAGTAAAATTTTTTCCTCGACATGTGATGATTAAGTAAGCTATAGTCTGTCAGTACATACATAATAACACATACATAATAACACATACATAATAACACATACATAATAACACATACATAATAACACATACATAATAACACATACATAATAACACATACATAATAACACATACATAATAACACATACATAATAACACATACATAATAACACATACATAATAACACATACATAATAACACATACATAATAACACATACATAATAACATTTGTTTACCGTGTTGACAGATACGTGTATTGGACCCACGAAGCCGAACAAACTATTTTTTTGATGGCGTATTTAGCCCAGAAGCATCCAACCAAGAGGTGTGTTACATTTATTCCTCTTTGAAATAATGATGTCGAGGAGGGCATTACAGATCGCAACAAAATAACGTTTTAATGTTATGGAAGGGACCAACAAGCTTCTTCATCCTTCCTTAATTTTGTTAATCTCTTTAAATGATCAATTTAAAAATGCATTATATATCATGGTTTAAATTGTATATCTTAAAGGTATATCTTAAGGTCGGAAAACCTCTCGTCTACGCTGCACTGAATGGCTACAAAGGAACACTGCTGACATACGGACAGACCGGCACAGGTAAGGATAATGAGTTATTTTAGCTGATCACAAGAAACATAAGTAAAACAGCTTTAACTCCTCCATCCTGTGTCTCTGAGTCATTGCGCAGAGTCTTTCTTAAACCAATTAATGATTATCAACTACGAAAATTTCAGGCAAAACCTTCACACTTCTGTCAGATGATGGCGTTACCACGCGAGTTGTGCAGCACTGCTTTGAAAAAATCGCCAGCGATGAGATTCACAACTACAAGGTGAGAACCAAACGTTTTTCATTCGCATATTTTGGTTTCTTTTCTTATCGACGGTGTCTATCCCTTGAAAAGAAAGATGATGAAGAAATTCAAAATTATCATGTAAGCGTACGCAATCATGGAGGCGCATTTTTCTCTAGGAGTGTGTTTCTTTTGTCAGTTTTTTTTCTTGGATATTCGCAGTCAAGTAGGGTCATATTATCCCTCCAGAAAAATGATAAAATTATCTCATTGCTCACAGTTGACAAATACGCCGCCACGATTTTGGCCGATGTGGGGGACTCGGTATTGAATTTGTATTTCCATTCTATATTTTTTTCATATGATTTCTCTGTAGAGACTATGTTCTGTATGAACGCTGTTATTAAGACACTGCCATGGGTGCACGCAATCTGGGTAGGAAAAAAAAATTATGTTCTTCGTTTTCAGGTGATGTGCTCATTTCTACAAGTCTACCAAGAGAAGGTCTACGATCTATTAAATCCGCGGTTCACGGTAGATTTACCAGTAAGAGAACATCCAAAAAAAGGTACGCCCGTTTAAGTCCCTCGATTCAATCAGAACGCTAAAACGGGACCGTAGAATATGAACATGAACACCAGGTTGAAATTGAGGTCACGGTCAGCCAAACATTACCATTCATAGGACGCATAAATTATAAGTGTGCTGCGTAGTACGTGTGTCCTGTGTAATTTTCTTTCAGATCTGATCAAGGGAAGTTTAAGCCGTCAAAATTTCTTCCATTCAACCAATTATCGTACTGTAATCGTCACGCATTGGTCTAAAATTATGCCATAAAATTGGTTCATTCCCTTTCCCTTTTCAGGTGTATACGTAGCAAACTTGACCCAACACGAAGTGAAGAGTGCCGGAGATGTGTTTGCACTCTTGGAAATAGGGAAACAACATCTGGTTATAGCGGAAACCAAGATGGTCCGGCACTCCAGCAGGTGATGGCTTCAAAACTTTCTATTACTTCAGCTTTGTATCATTATTTGTCGTAACAATTCGATTTGTTCAACAGATCACACTCAATCATGCAGCTTATTATAGAAAGAAGACTAAAAGCGCACATTGCTAATGGTAAGGAAAAAAGAAAAAAAAACTTATTTCTTGCATCCAACGTTGCTATTTTTGCACTGGTGCATGGTATGTGTGACAAAAATTAACAAAACCTTTCTTAACTAAACAACCGCGGTTCAAGTCTTTCATATTCCCTGCCCAGTCTCCGTACCAGCAACTATGGCCCGTTTCTGAAATGTCTTGGGTTGCGTGCTTATTTCATGAGCTAGATCTAAGAAAAGTCATATGGATCTTGTGCAAAATCATTTCATTCTATTTGTTTCCGAGACTCGAGTACAAAATAATTTGTATTTTGACTTCGTATCTTAACTTTACTTCGTATCTTATCTTGACTTCGTATGGCATCTTCATATCTTGACGTGAGTACAAAATAGTTCGTTCTTGATTAGGAATGTAAACGCGACAAACAAACGAAAGAAAAATATTCAGTCCTGGTAACTACCGCCACTTGCGCCAGACACTATTTCTTTATCGCTCGTTCAAAATATGTATTCAACGTCTTCAATCAAACCTTTTCACTTCAGAAAAACCACCAACCCAAAGCAAAACTAGTGTGTCCCACGAGGTAGTTCAAGAATCTATCATGGCAGTCGATGAGACAATTAACAATCTCATAAAGGAACTGAAACAAGAGAGAAAAAGTCATCACAAGGTATGGAATCAAAATAAAATATCGTCCTAACCTTATAGGCTGGCCTTTTGGAAAGTCGCCTGAATGCTGCTGAAAGAAAACTGATATTCTTTATGACTTGGGTTTAAACCAAGGTACCACTGTGTGGGAGTCAAATGCATAAACGTTACTAAAAAGGTTGTATGATTAATCATCGCCATTTGAAAATGCTGTGCTGTATACACATTTCTCCGTAAACATATACTTGCACACAAAGCTTTAGAAATTTTTTGGAGCTTTACCTCAATTAGAGAACGCTTACAAACTTGCTCGGCAAAACTATTAACTGCTACATTTATTTCCTCTTTCAACATCAGCGTGAACGAGAGTGTTTGAAAGAGTTAATGGAGAAAGAGGTAAGCTTTTGGGAGTAAAGCTTTACCGGGTTAATCCATAGGATCAAATCTACAGACAATCTTTGCTTTAGAAAAGAGTCAAAGCTTTTTTCCTTCTCTTTCTTTCACCTCCTTATAATAAATTCCAGAAAGGTTTCCCACATCAAGCGCACGTTCTGTATCAAGCCCCGACCGTTAGAAGGCACCTTGCTTAAATCGAGTATTCACCCCTAATTAGCGGCTACTGGGGAGAAAACTGTAGATTTCGCCTGAAACGGGCTCAAAATACTGTACACTTCTCAATCAAGTACAACTTACATGGAAAAAAATATTTACAGACTTTGCTAATTTTTTTTTCTCTTACGCAGCTCAATAACGGGAACAATTTTGAGGGCGATCTCATTGTGAAAGGAAAAATCAATTTGTAAGTAGAAAATTACATCAAAACACCATCTAAAAACCTTTAATCAACTTTATCCAGCCAAAATTCTCAGCTAAAGTAACTCTTAGGTTTAATTATTACAAGTGAGCCTACAGCCTAAAGAAAGAAATTCGTGTTTGTACCGTTTTATTATTAATACCTTACCCGGACCTTTCACGGCCTATCAGATACACGGTAGGATCTGGGTACGAGATGAACCTTTAACCATTGACAAACAATAGAATGTAATAACTTTCGGTATTTCCTTAGGTGTGATTTAGCTGGAAGTGAGAGGCTAACCAAAACCAAAGCGGAAGGAGTGCGGCTGACGGAGGCGAAATATCTAAACACTTCACTACTGGAGCTTGGGTAGGTGGAGATGAAAAGTGTTACGTATGCGTGCTAGGGTTAAAGATGAAGTGAAACTGCAAATCTTTCACATACTTTAATTTCACATCAAATCACTAAACCTGTAGCTCTCCTGGAAACCAAACGTCCACAACCAATCACTCTTTGAATCTGACTCCTCAGGAATGTTATTCACGCCCTTGCACGTGGACATAAGCGTCACGTGCCATACAGAAATTCTACGCTAACCAGACTCCTGCAGGACTGCCTTGGTGACAATGGAAAAACAAATTTTATCGTAAGTAGAAAGTTTCCTTCCTTCCTTTGAATTAAATTGCCTTGCCAATACTCCCACTAGGGGCAAAGTTTTACAGTTTAATCGCGTTTCCTGTGTTCTTGTAAGTGCAGTTTAAACAGGGTTTTTTCCAAAGTAATTCATCTAAACTCAGGAAGTCTGTACGGTGGCCAATTTACATTATCAACTTTAGAAACTTCTCGCCTTTATGTATATCAGTATTTTTTTTTGCCCGCAGATCTGTATAGCACCTTCCCTCGGTGAGGTGAACGAAACCAAGTGCAGTTTAAACTTCGGTCTTCGAGCCATGAGAATAACCAATGTGGCCCGCCTTAATGTTGAGGTGAATACATAAACTATCACTCGTAGTTGCTGGAAAATATAATGGAAAATGTGATGGTTTCTTTATAGGCGAGAGGGACTGATTAATCTGGGAATTTTCGAGCCGATGGAGATAAAGAATATAGAGAAAGCAAATGGGCCGAGAGTTATATTCACCACGGACTTATTGGAAAAATTTTGTCAGTAAATTGTCAAGTTATTGCAGGACGCAGTCTAAATAAAATTTCTGCGTGAGAATTAAGTGAGGAGACAGTGATACAGATTTACTCTAACAGGAGAGATTCGATAACTAGTAAAGGCAATTTTACAATGATATTTTCACAGGTGGACTATAAAGTTTTGGCTGAACGACTGGCAAAAAAACTCGAGGATCAAGGTGAGCGGAGATTTTTTTCTTTTGTTATAAGTGAACACGGTCTTGTTTTTAATTAATTTATTTTGTAAGAAAAAAACATACCGAGAAATATAATTTGTGTGCAGCCGATTTACCTCCCGCTTTCCTTTTTGTATAATTTAGATGAGCAAAATAAAAGAGCAACTACCGGCACTTGTTGTCGGGAAATTCGAAGAAGGACGACCTCTGCTTTTCTGTGGCTAATTGCAGGCTAATTGGATATGTACTCTCACTTTGTTGATATATCCAAATAATTGGATATGTACTCTGCGATACAAATGAACGTAAAGCAGAACTCATTTTCAGAACTCAGCTCCGTTTCTTTTCAAATTCGCTCTTGCAAGGTAATAGTTCACTGAGCCAAACATCTAAGTAAAGTAATGTTTTCAACTGACGGTGTGATTTTTTCTTTAGAAATTAAAAACAAGTTCGAGAAGCTGGAGTACCTCAGAGAAATACAGCGGCTGAAATCCGCAATAAGCTGTTACCAGGAGAGCGAGAATTTCGCTGGCAAAGATGTAAGATTGAGTATTCATTGTTCTGGCCTGTCAACATGTATGAAAGAGCAATCGCCAACAAAACTCTAAGTCAAACAAAATCTTAAATTTAATATAAATTGTGTTCATATCGCTTTTTTGTAAGTGCTGACTTCTATCAAATACCCTCCGATAGTAAAGACAGCCACGAGCCGGTTTCAAGAGATCGCTTTTTAAGTCCCCATTTTTCCCTATTTTTTCACAGCACGAGAAGTTAGTCACAGTAATTGCTAATCTTTCCAAGAGTGTCCAACGGGAGAAAGAGGAGAAGAATAACCTTCAAACAGAGCTGGTGTGCCTGAAGAAGCAAGTATCTCAACCAATAGGAACAAGCGCTCCTGATGTCGAGGCTGTTTTACTGGCCGAGCTTATGTCCATGGAGCTGTTAGCAAATTTGCAAAACCCGGATGCAGCTAAGGGGATCCTTTCAGATGGCTCACTTTCAGCCAAAGTTAAGAGTCATCTGGCATTGGCTGACACCCAAGAAACGCTTTTGAACAATGCTGGGTGTTTCTTGCAGTTGTTAGACCTCCATCTGGATACTGAACTGGATGCAAACGAAAGGAAGCGGGCAGCTTCCGAGGCCAAGGAATACCTGCAATTTAATTTCTCTAGGGCGGGATCGGTGGAGTTGTTCTCCAAAGACTGCTCCATTAAAATTTCTCCAAGGGGCGTCCCTAAAGAACCCTGTCTCAGCTTACCCATGTACAATAGCAGTCCTGATGAAAATTCCTCTGGACTGGCGGGTGGAGTGCGCAGAATGTTGGGTAAACTCATGGGACGAGAGAGCAAGGACAGAACGTCAGTTTCGCCTGGCACACATTCCAGCAGCCAAGCATGCTCTGTTCCGAGTGGTGACGTTACCCAACGTGTGCATGATCAGGAAGAAACCATGATTAAAACCAAGGCACTGTTAACACGCCTAACAAGCTCCAAAGAGAAGGTGGAGCAGCAAGTTCTCGGTCTATTGTCGACGTTGTTTGACGAACAAATCGCAAAAAATGAAGGTCAGTAAAAGCCAGTTTCTTAACATAACTCCCTTCTTGTCGTTATCGTTTAGAGTTTGTAACTCCTGTACGACAATTTTGATCTGAGAGCCTGAAAACGCGATGTTAGGTTGTCTCTTGGTCATTCCAACGTTTGACCTCTGTGTTCTACTTCCAGACCATGAGTCTTCATGTGTTCCCACACAAAATACTATTTGGAATTGCGTTTATTAGCCAGGTTACTGGCAGGTCTCAACTTATATTTCTTTAAATCTTAGGGCAATGTCCGCAATGGAACGAGCTGGGAAATAAACTGACTAAGCTGATCATGTTCCGACGCAATAACATGCCTGGTAGGTCCCAAATATCATCTTCTCTTATATAAATAGATGAATAAATAAATAAAGAAACAATTACATGAGTCCTTTAGGTCAATACAACACACTACGTTTGTTATCTCAAGACCTACGTCAAATCTATTCTTAATTTCTCTCGGAAAAGTTGGGTGAAGCGATGGAACAACGTGCCCTTCATATCTAAAGTTACGACAATCGTAAAGTTACTTGAGCCCTGACTTATAGCTCGATTGTAAAATTCTATGTTAGGTTTAAGCGAAGCAGATATGTGGGCTAACTCTGAAGACTTGAACGCAATCTTGGAGAATTGTCTTCGTTTTGTCATCATTGATAAAGCTCTGCTGGCTTGTCTTCTGGTAATTGAGCTGCTGGATCTGAGACAGGTATGTGGAACACTAGAGGAAAAAAGAAAGCTTCCTACCCAAAATGCTCCAGGAGAGAGCACCGCTATGGACTCTTCGCCTCAGAGCACGCCTCCAATAAAGACAACTGGTAGTAAGAAGAACTCTTCTAACAGCAAAGAGATTGGGTCAATTTCGCCAACAGCATCCATTTCACCGAGACGAGAGAAACTGAAATCTCTGAAACACACCAAAACAGAACTGGAGAAGGAAATAACTGAGATGCACGAAGACACAACATTTCTTGAAACAGAACTATTTTCGACGATGGAAGAGAGAACAAAGGTCGAGGAAGAACTGTATGGTATCAAGAGCCACGTGACAAAACTTCGATCGGAATTGTTTCACCTAAAGCTCGAAAAATCTAACTTGGAAAGTGACGTCAAAAAATCAAAAAGCCAAGAAAATTTAGAGCAAAGTGAAGATTCCGACGGAGCAAAGTCCACTTTCGAGTCACCAAAGGAACCTGTTCCCCGAGGATATCCTGAACTCTCGGACGTCTTAGAGGCTTCGCATGAGAGCAACGACAGCGAAAACAGTTCCCAGATGTCTGATGGAAATGAAACTAGAGAGGCCTTCTTGAAAACGTGTATGGAAAATATCTCAAAAATTTACACGCTTATGCCGGAAGATGCTGAGGAAATAGCGAGTGAGGATGAAATGTCCGACGAGCAAGAACCAACACTTTCCGATGCAAACATTGACGACAGTGATGAAGAAATCATTATCACCAAACTTGCCCGAAGCCTTCGCTCACCTTGCGCAAGTCCCAATAAAGAAAAAGTGTTTGAAACGTCACCGCCGTACAAGAGTGGACAGAAGCAAGCAGTTGTCGGTGACGTTAAAAAAGATAAAAGCAACACTGGAAATGAAGTAAATGAGGACATAGGGAATAAATCGAGAGATGCATTAATCAAACAAATACAAGAACTCAAGAGGAAACTGCACAAAGCTGAAAATGAGTTAAATGAAGCCCGAGAAGCAAACGAAGATTTGGAGGAGGAACTGGATCACAAAAAAGGCCAGCTGGCAGAAGCACAAGTAACCATAACAAACCTTGAAAACCAGATCGTCGATGAAAAAGAAACATGTGAAGAGGTGCGACAACAGTATTTCAATGTCAAAACCCAAAACGAAATACTCGATGGAAAGCTGAAGGCTTTACGATCGGAAACGGAGAGACTTTTAAGAGATAGCAATAGTAGCAACGCTGTTTTCAGATCGCCGGAAAGTTCACGTAGAGATAATCCACCACTATCACCAACCAAGACAAAAGCGAAGTCTCCACTAAGGTCTCCTACTAAAGCAAAGGTTCCTAAAATTGATCTGCGAACTCCCCCTCAGAAGCAAGTTATTGCAAATGAGATTGAATTCATTTCTCTGGTGGAAGAAAATGCAGAGCTCAAAGTCAAGTTAGGGAATGCAACACAGGAAAAAACTCGTTTAGAAAAATCACTCAAAATTGTAGAAGAAAAATCCTTCAAGCTGAAAACTGTCATTCAAACCAGCGAGGATGCCTGCAGTCGGATCAGAGAGGAAGTGTCAGCGATCACCAAGGAAAAGGTTAGGCTTTCCGGTGAGATAACAGATTTACGGAATACAAATTCGAGCATGGCAGAAGAGCTTCAGAAATACCGGGAAAAATCAACTCGTCTGGAGAAAGATATCGAAGCAATCGCTTACATGAGCACGCGACTAGAGAAAAACAACAAAATACTCGAAATGGAAATATCAAAAATGGAATCTGAACTATGCTCTTGGAAAACCAAGCACGAGTCGATGTCTCAGGAATGTCAAAGACTTGACCAGGAAAACCAAATAGCAAGGAAGGATCGAGAAAAAGCTCTGCTTGAGCTGGGAGCTATCAAAAAAGAGAAAAGTCAGTTGCTGGAGCAACGGTTTTCAATAAACGAAGAAACGGTGAGAAGAGAGAAGCAACTTGAGGACAAAGAGGAACGATTCTTTGAGTTGGAGGTTGAAGTGACCGAACAGAAACGGCTTAATGCCAACCTCCAAAAGGAGCTGGCAGGTATGGCAGAGTATCAAGAAGCGTTAGAAAGTGAATACTCTAAAGCAAAGAACGAAGAAGACAAGCTGAAGCAAGAACTGGGTAGAATTAGTTCTCGAGTAATTGAAGTTGAGACGCAACTTGCATCTGCTTCACAAAATACCCAGGACTATGGGTTAAGCATTGAACAAAAGTCTAATAGTTTGAGCCTTCGAACCACTCTTAAAGACGAGCCGAGCCACAGAGGAAAATCATTCAGTGGAACACCCAGTAAAAAGTTTTATACCATTACTCACACAAGTGAAGACGAAATTGCCGACACATCCTCCTCTATAGCAGAATCACCCGCAGATGAAAGCAAGCAGGTAGAACACGAAAATCAGCTTTTGAAACTCGAAAATGGCTACTTACAACAACAGTTGGCGGAGAGTGAGCACGTCCTTGCTCTGTACAGGCAAGATCTGGAGAGCGCTCACGATCTCATCGACAAACTACAAGCGGAGATGAAGATATTTACTGATAAAACAAAGAATGATGCAACTGAAGACGATTGCAAAACGCCGTCAGACAAGGATGACACTGTCCAAGAGATTGAAGGTTGCTCAGCCATTGCAAACGAAGAATACAGGTTACTTGAAGAAAAGCACGTTGAACTGACGAGAGAATACGAGATTCTTCGACAGCAATATCAAGAGGCAGTCACTGAGAAGGAAGGAGGAAACGACAGAGAGGCAACTGCAAATGCAGCTTTGAAGAAGGTCACATTCGTTGGTGAAAAAGCCAGCAAGAAAATCACAACATCCCAAAGAGATGTTGTACATCCGCAGAATACCCTGCACGATCGAATAAAAGAGTTGGATAGTGAAAATATGAAGCTAAAAGTAGCTGAAGAAGAACTAGAAAAGGGTCTGAATGCAAACAACCAGCTAATAAGGTCACTGGAAGATGCAAAACGGGTACAAACGACGCTGGAGGAAAGAATAGCCAATTATGAAAGTGAAAGGAAAGATAACAAATTGAGGCAAACATACATGGAAGAGCAAGTAGCCCGTTTAAAGGAGGAGAACGAGAAGTCAAGAGCTGAAGTACTTGAGCGCACTATAAGTACCAGTCACCCGTTAAACCATCAGCAAACTGCAGGTGATGTCCTACATGGCAAAAGAGCTGTTGACAATGAAAACAAACTGCGTACGCTTGAGGAGGATCTCCTGAAAGCTACTAGCGAAAAACTAAAACTAGAATTTGAATTAAGAAGTGCAAACGCCGATTGTGAACGGCTAAAGAGTGACCTTCATCAAAGCGAGTCCGAAAGGAACTTGTTAACCACCCAACTTAATGACAACATAGAGCGAGCAGCAAACCTTGAAATACGACTGATGGAGATGCGGTGTTCATGTGAGACAATCAAAGATGAAATTAACACTCTTAAAAACCAGAAGAGACAAGAGAGTTTTCACCTTCATGAAGCAAGCGTCTGTAAAGAGATTTTGGAAAAACGGTTGGAAGATGCACTCAAGGAAAACAACTCCTTACATCACGAACTCGAAGCTATACGCGAGGAAAGAGAGGAAACAATAAAGAAGACTGCTAAGCTAGAAGAAGCAAAAGAAAAACTCATTAAGGAAATCAACGAGGTAAAAAAGCAGAAAGAAGTTGAGCAGAAGATACCCGATAGGCCAGCGCAAGAAAACAAAAAGGCAGATGTACCGATAGATAAGGAGGTCTCTGAAGAATCAAACGAACACAGAAAGCTACATAGAGAAGACCAAGAACAAGTTACGATCCTCCAAGATGAGCTAAGAAAAATTACCGAAGATCATAATCAGCTAAAGGAGGAATTACAGGAGATAAAAGTTGTAAAGGAAATTCTTGAACAGCAGATTGAAATCATTAAAGTTCAGGGATTGATGGAAAATGAGGACGCGCTTGTGTCGAATTTTAAGCAACATACTACCAAAGAGGAGCAGCAAGAAATGACCACAAATGATGAGATGGAAATTGAGGAAAAGACCAAGTTACTTGAGAAAGAGAAAGGGCTTTTCGAAAAAGAGCTAACCAGGCTTCAAGTCGAATGTAACAAGCTCAAGCAGAAACTTGCATTAGGACAGTCACAAGTTCTGGAGGATCAGAGGAATGAGAGTGAAGAAAGGCAAGAACACTTGAAGATAGAGCTTCAGAGGTTACGCGACCTGAACAAAGAGCTCGAAAACGAGTGTGAAGGTTCTAATAAATTAATACACGAGCTAGAAATAAAGACCAAGGCATTGGAAAGCTTGGAAAAGGAGCTCCACTGCTTCCATGAAGAAAACGACCGACTAACCCAGGAGGTAGATATAATTCAACACACAAGTAAAGCCATAACAGATCACCAATCTAGCAAGGAATCACTGGAGGCAGAAAAATCTTTATTGAAGAAAGAACTTGAAAATATTCACGACTGCAACAGAACACTTCAAGAAAAGATAGAGGACATGGGTAAGGAGCTTGAGATAGTTAACGAACAGAGGGAGAAAGTCAGTTCAATAGAGAAGATGAACGCTTCCTTAAACAATGAGATTGAGAAGTTACAGACGATGCATCAACATCTTGAAAGCGAATTGGCAACAACGCATGGAAAGATAAAAGAAATGGAGATCGTGAACGATACTTTAAAAAAAGAAAACAAAGCTTTGAAGGGAAGGATTAATAACGAGGCGCCTCGGAGGAACGATAACCACAGAAAGGTATCGAGAGTAGAGAACAAATTGAAGGGCACGTCAAAACAAGAACTAAGTATCGCAAAGGAAGGCAAAGCAGTTTCTAAATTGGAGGGAAAAAATGATGAGGACAGGGAAAATGATTTGCAACAGACGGTTGAACAGCTTGCAAGTGAAAGAAGCAGATTGAAAGATGAACAAGACAGTGTTACGAAAAACAATCATAACCTCAGTGTTCCTGACAAGGATTCTCAGAGTGTCACTGTTTTAAAAGAAACAACCGAACCTCAGTCAGAAAATGAAGAGTTTGAAGAGTTGACAAACAACAAACTGACCGGCAGCCGCGATCAAGAAACGAACACTGAGTCCGAAAATGAGAAGGAGAGCGCTCCCTTTGCAGTAGACGTTAAAGCTGGGCTTTCGCTGATGGCAAAAGAAAATCTGTTATTGGAGAAGAAGGCATCGTACTTTGTTAGAGCGCAGGTGCAGCTTGAACAGTCCCTTTCAAAAGCAATGAAAGAAAACCTTTCTCTGAAGAACAAAGTAAGCGAAACAGAAAACGTCCTGACTATACTTCGCGAGCGCGTACATGAACTGGAGAAAAATTCAAATTCAAGTGCTCTGCCATTGGTTGACTTAAAAAAAAGTGTCATGTTGTCCAGCGACAGTGAGAGCGACTGTGATGCAAACGAACTACCGAACAGCGGTAACAAGAAAAAAGGTCAACGTTTAGACGATAATTCTGCAGCTTTGCAAGAAAACACAGAGGAGCGGAACAAGATGAGGTCTTGCCATGAGGGTAGTGCGATACATTCAGTCCCATCCAATGTTGATAAACTGCAACGCGAACTGGAGGAAGTGACGAAAGAATTGGAAAATCTCAAAAGCCAAAAGGAGATACACAAGATCGACTCGAAAGAAAAAAAAGACTCTGAGACTCAGAGTGAAAAAGAAGATAATCTTCTTCATAAGCAAGAAGAGGAAAATACACTTCTGAAACAAGAAAGGCAAAGTTTACTTGAAGAGCTTGAAGCGGCGACAAATCAAAAGAAATCCATAGAACATGATCTAAGGCAGAACAAAGAGTCTTGCATAAAGCAGGAGCAAGAAATTAAGCTGTTACTGTCCTCATACAGTCAAGAAAAAGAAAGTTTGTTGAAAGAACTTGAAAGTACAAGGTTAGACTGCCGCAAAGTAAAAGAGAAACTTCGAGCGTTGCAACAGATCGATTCTGAATTTGCAGATATTCAAAAGAAAAGTACAGAAGCAGAAAAATTGGTGACTGAACTCGAAAAAGAGTTACTTTGCCAAACTGAAATGAAAAATGAATTAAAAAGAGAACTTCAGAATTGTCAGAACAAGCTGCAAGAAATAGAACATCTGGAAACGAAGTTGCGATCTTGTAGAACAGAAATTGAAGATCTGCACTCCACGAACAATCAACTGAGGGAAGACATGGAAAAAAAGAAAGATGAAAATAATAATTTAATCGATGAGCTGAAAAACGTCAAGATTAAATTACGATCATTGGAGAAACAGAAAAAGCAATCAATGAATCGGGATGCTATCATGAAAAATAGTCAAGATCAAAGCGTACAAACTGACTCCGGTGCTGACGTTTTTGTTCATCGAGATCAGGAAGTTCCTAAACAGAAAACCCAAGCAAAAGATGTAGAGGAAACCAAGAACACCATGGCTTGTCGAGAATCTCACGACATCAATAGTCACAAAGTCTTTCCACAGTCCGATGAACTGCTTAGTGAGAGTCGCAAATCCAACGAGGGTGTAGACAATGAGGCACAGGAACTTAACTCATCCGAGATCAAAACCAGAAATGAAGGGATAGAACTAGGGGATGACAATCGCTTTCAGGGAGTTTCTATTCCGATAATAATAATAACCCAAGAAGACGATACTGTCACGATCAACAACGAAAGTACTACAGGACTAAATCTGTTCTTAGGGGACTTCGAGAAAGATTCGCCAAATGATCAAAGTACTCCTGATGAAGAAAACCAAAAAAACACCCCTTCCATAACGACGATAGACGATGTCGAGCCTTCAGTGGACAAGCAGATTATTCCTTTGGAAATATCATCAAATCAAGAACTAAGCGCTGTGAAAATCCAAGATCAAAGGACTGAAGAAAATGTGATAACCATGAGTGACTCAGAAAAAAATGGCCTACAAAATCAAAGAAATGGTTCCAATAAGCAAGAAGTAAGTGCAGAGCCTGAAATTGGTTCTAAAAAAGATGATTCGACCTGGAGCTCCCTTCAAAAGGATGTACAACAGGATGACGCCCTTTACGACGGTGAAAAGGAGGAGCCGTTGAGTCTAAGCTCTAGACGAGAATACGAGTGGACGATCTCCAACCTCAAGTCGGAGTTGCAACAACGCTCTGAAGACCATGAAAGGAATCAACAAGAAATTGGCTCCCTTGAAGAACAACAGCTGTCTATGAAAAGGGAAATTGTTTCGTTGTTAAGTGAGTGTGAATCACTCAGAGCAAAGGTAGCTTTACTACAAACTCAGAATGAAGCCGTCTTGAAGGAACAGATTCTAAACGATGAGGAAAACGAAGAGCTCCAACAAAATATGCAAGACATTCTTGAAGAAAAGAATTCAATCGAGGAAGCCAAGAAAAAACTTGAAAGTGAGAAAGCAAGACTAGAGATCGAGTTATCTGATGCAATAGAAACAAGAGAGGCAGTGGAAGGAGAGTTACTTCGCTTCAGAACCGAAAATGCAACTTTATCACAACACACAGTGGAAGGACAGTTGTACGATATTAGTGAAAGATATGCTAAATTGGAAACAGTACTTTCATGTGTTCTTGATGAGAACTCAAAAATGACTGCAGAGCTTTCAGCTCTCAAAGCCGAAAACGGCATGCTTAAGAGCTTCAAGATTATGGAAATAACGGACAAATGTACGCAATTTTCACCGAGAACAACAGAAGATGAAAGCGATGGAGAAGGGACACATTCTTTAAAGAGAAGGAAATCTACATTATCTATTACTCGACAATCTCGACTTAGTGAAGATCTTACGAATCAATTGTACGTAGCCAGTCCAAAATCCACAGGAACAGACGAGGTTAAAGACGATGAAGAAGGAACAACAACTGACGAGTTTCCAGTGACTCCTACTCCTGCTGTCAAAGTCAATGGTGAATCTGACTTCGACAGATTTGGCGATGATCAACGTCAGATGAAGAAAGATGAAGTTCCCACTTCGATAGAGGATGACAATGGAAGAGAACACCGCGCCGCAATGAGCGGCGAATTACCGTCACTGCTGCCTCTTGCCAAAAGAAGTCTAGTGGAAAATACTGAGCTGGAGGTGATCTCAGTGGGAAAAAGTATACGCAAAAAACACCAAAGAAAAACCTTAAAGGAAAGTTCTTCTCGCAAAAAGCATTCTAAACCTGACGATGCTGACAAAGTCGAGTCGGATGAACATGACTCGAGTATGGAAGTCCACACTAGCAGCTCTCTCGTTTCGATCACAGATCTCGACATAAGCATCTCTTCTGATCAAATCTCGTCAGAAGATAGCTCTGTTGTGGGTCCAGAAATACGGGTCCTTCAAAGGATGCAAAAAGAACTCGCAGAGACGAAATGCAGTAATGTTCTTGTTAAAAATGAGTTGGCCATTATAAGAAAGCACAACGCAGATCTCCAGAATCAAGTGCAAAAGCTACTCAGCAGAAACAATCACCTGAAAACAACAATGTGCGACAAGGCTTTGTCTGTGAAACGGATGGAGAAGGAAGTTTCTAACATCCAAGATGAGAATAACAAGTTGCAGCAACAGGCGATGATTCTCCAAGACGAGATGGCGAGCGTGGAAAAAGAAAAGGCCAAATTTGAACGCAACATGTCTGCAACAAAATCTGAGAACAAGCGACTAAAATCCGATCTATCAAACATTAAAGCAGAGAGCTACAGAACCATGAAGGAGCTGGTGAACTTGCAAAGTGAGAATAGGAAATTGCAGCTGGAAATTGAGAGGCTGAAGGAAGACTCACGGAGACTAAATGGACCTTGTAGTGACGACTCAACGTCGCATAAAGTGCCATTCTGGGGAACGATGTCTCATGGTGATAGGAGTACATCGCGGAGGAGTTTACAGGAAAAACAAGTTAAACAAAACACGACTCATCTGTACGATGCAACAATTAGCGACCTTACTTTCAGTCACCGTCAAACTTCAAAAGATTCGCAAGGTCCGGTATGTGAGAATACATCTCCTGTAAGATTCATTATATGCTGTTGAATAAATTTAATCTTGAAATTATGTTTTGTAGAGAACAAAGGAAACAAAAAACAAAACAAAACAAAACAAAAGGCGCATCTCTAGCCGGATGAAAATGAGGACGTTACAGAGCATTTTGATGACATCATCTCAGGATTTTTAGATACGACGTCACACTGGAAACTTCTGTGATGACAAAAACAGACTTTCCATCACTTTTCTTCATCAATCCTTTACATTTTTTTGTTAACTTTAACACAGGAGTTATCCCCACTGAATCTTTCTGAAGAGCTCCAGAAACAAGACACTGATGACGACCACTATGGCAAAACATTTATTGGATCGGGTAAGTTATGTATCATCATTTTAATCGGTCTACCTGAGAAGATAGTCCTTGAGTTAAAGTTAGACGAAGAGTTTTTGCAATATCTCGTCAGTGGTAAGCAACGACCTTATCAAAAACGTAAATTCGTACACTCTTGAAGATTTACACAAAAAGCAGGAAACTATGAGGAATGTGAAGTACAGAACACAATAACAGGGTACCATAAATTAGTGAGAGCTAAGGACTTATTTCTTTTGTTAGTTAAGTATCTGAAGTATGAAATGTAATTACAGCAGACTCGATCAGCAGCGAAGACAGATCAAGATCTTCTGAGCTTGTGTCACGGCGAGGAAGTCAGCTCTCCTTCACCAGTGAAGCAAGTCACCCTGGCGAGGGCAGTGACCGAAACGAAATTGAACACCAAGAAAAAACTGGAGACGAACACGAAGACGAACAAGGGGGCAAAGGCAAAAGCAAGAAAAAGATAAAAACGATTCTACGGAAATTCCAGCACAGCAAAAAAACAAAGTCTTCAAAGTAATTTGTCTATTGAACGAGTTATTATGTAAGGTTTCCTTCAAGTGTTCACAAACGTGTAAAACACGATTTCTCTTCTGCAGATTTGTAAATAAGAAAGAAAGTCAATGTACTCGGTTTCACTGTTCAGTTCTTGGCCACTATGGTGCATTTGTCACCTTGAATCAGAACGGATTCAACTGAGAAGATTCGTTATATTAACAAGTCAAAAGTAAGGCCTTTGCTATCGCAAACGTACATTTTCCAATTCAAATTACGTGTACAAGAATTTCGAACCATTTCATTGGAAAAGCGAAGTACAGCATGTGACTGTATGAAGACAAACGTGCCTTTGGTAATCGATGAGCATAAGGATAAACCGCAGAGACCCCCTTCGATCAACATTAAAAGTGAAACAGGTGTTTCTGATTTTATGCTGCATTTCACGATATTTTCAAAAGAAAAGGATAATTTTCATGCGACAATACATTTAAACATTATGCAATACGGTTGCCAGCTATCAGTATGGGGCTAAATTTTGTTTGCCATTAGTTTGGTTCTTTCTTTATAAGGAAAACAGTGGCAAAATGGTATATTAGTTTTTCGGTACTAAAAGTGCACGAGTAAGTACGAAAGGCAAAACCCTATAATTTTTATTTCATTATCATAAACATATAAAGTACGTTAGCACTTTTTCTCATTAAAAGACAATGCTCTATCAAAACGGGTAACATGTCGATGGTAACATGTCGATGGTTACATTTGTCAATGCTTTGAGATACTGTCCGTGAATAAATAAATGCTAGAAAATAAATATCAACTAACAAAAAGTTCAGTTTCTTTTAAGACGCGTTTTTTTTTTTCAAATAAGATGACTACAAACCAGTGGCATACTTACACACGTTAAAAACTTGCAATCGAGAAACTGCTGTATCTCTTGACTATAACCGCTGTTCAGTTCCAAGTCGATCGAGGGAAAATACATTTAAGCCATCGAGTGAGTCAGCGAGCTCCAGTTTTACGATTAAGGAGAAAGAGTTTATAAACCAGATGGCCAGTCTTCTCATACGTTTCCTACATCCTCAATTCACGAAACGTAACTGTAAAACTGTCAGAAAACTCCTTCCTCACCACAGCTTTTTTTGTTCATAATAGGCCGACAAGCATTTTAGTGTGGCACTTGCATTCTCAAACCCAACATTTAAACTTGAAAAACTGCTGCAAATCCGAATCATCGACGCTTTTACCATGAACTCCAGCATACACCTCCTTAAGCAGTTTACTATACTTGAAAGTCTTGTCTAGAGCTTCAACGTACTTTTCCAAGACAGTGAGACCCATTATTTTACCAAGCGAGATCATACTTGGACCCAGTCTAGGATCATCGTATTTCTCATTCTTCATCAACAAACGAACCATCTCACCGTAGATGTATGCATCATCGAACGTCAGCGGCTCTTTAAAAGGGTACACGCTGTAGGTATCAACAGCCTTCATAGGGTCGGTCTTGATCAAAGAGTCTGCTAACTCAATGTAAGCATCGTGAACTGACGGTGCCATTGAGATGACTTCTTCATACAGGGTATGAGCTTCACTGATGCTATCACCTCCCTTACGCATTAGCACTCGAGCCAATCCCAAACGAGCGTTGTAGGAAGGTTTGTTGGGAGGTCCGCTGGGCTTCTGTTCAGTGGTAAGGTTTGGCGTGGCAGGTTTGGCCGGCGTGGATCGTGTTACTGGGCTCTGTGCGACTGGCTTTGTTTGTGTTGAATGTTTGGACGAGGCTGGTTGCTTCGTTGGTGAGCATGCCCCTGATTTATGAGCTGGGAGCAAAGACATTGACAGCTTAATGAAACTAATGAGCCAAACATAGGTACAGCTGTACATGAAGTGATGGCTTAAAAACTGTGAAACCTTGCGAAGCCGAGAATTCTACAATTATGTGTACCAAGTTAAATGTTCACATCGCAGGGCTTAAGAGCAGTTGAAAGCGGCTAAAATTCGATCCCCCAACCCAGGATAGAAAGCTCGAGACCAGTCTCAAATACAATCCTTAAATTCAAAACGACTGAAAAAGGGTTCGAGAAGTCTTAGAGAGTGAGTCGCAGTGCAACTTAAAATACCTGATGGTTTGTTGGTAGTTATATTGCTCCCTCCTCTGGCAGCACTCCTCCCAGCTGTGCCACCACCCCTCCCTGCTGTACCAGAAGGTTTTGTCGGAGACGTCTTGCCGCGAGCTACACCAGATGATGCTTTTGCTGCAGCAGCTCCACCTCTAGTGGAAGGTGAGCTGCCCCTTCCTCCAACAGCAGGTTTACCGCGTGCTGGTAAGTACAGTGTAGAAGGTAAGAAAAAAAAAATGAAAGCATTGTGTTTCAGCAAGTTCAAATAAAAGTGGACATCTGGGGGGCCTCCTTGAGTAGTACACTGCTTTTAAGAAGAGGGGCACGTATACATGTATATATATGGGCAAGGGAGAATCTTTAGGCAGTTGAAAAAGTCGTATGATAGTGTCTGTTGCGAATTACTGCAATTCATACAGAACCATTGGGTTTGCGTGCTATTGGTCATTTCCATCCTCTAAAAGGTATTTTCCCTGTATTGTAGAGTGATCCTCGAGCTATTCCTCCTAAAGGTACTGAATCAGACGTTCGAAGTCTCCAAGTATTTGATCTTAGGACGTCCCCTAAATAAGGAGCTTCATTTGCTTATGAAAATGAATAGCTGAGTGGATACAATTTTTGTGGATTAACAACCGCTCCAAGGATAAAAGCAACTAAGAGTGGCTGGCAGAACTTCTTAAATTAAAGAAAACAAAAATCTTACAAACGCTACAGTAATTAAAAACTTAAGTCACTAACTTGGTGTTGATGAACCTCTTCCCGCTTGGTTGCCACCACGCCCAGCAGGGGATGCCGCTTTACCTGCTGGGGATGAAGCTGTCTTCTGAGGAGTTCCCCCTGCCGCTGCTGCTTTCTTTTCTGCCTCTTTCTTCGCTTTCTGTTCTTTGAACCACCGTTGATCAGTGATCTTTGCTGGCATCTCTCCACCAAAAGAAGGGGAACCCTCAAGCTCAATGCTTGCTCGATAACTCAGCTCAGCCTCCTCGAGAGTCTGCTTAGCATTAGCAGAAGTAGGGTCATCATTGTCATAGAGGCTTAGCTGGGCATCACCCAAGCGGTACAGGGCACAGCTGTTACATGACTGAAGTAGCACAGCTTGCTGGCAGGTCTGAAAATAAAAAAAAAAGATTAATATTTCAGTACATTAAAATTACGCAGCCTTACGATACTGGTGATGGCAATCAACAGAGACACCTGTCCATTGTACATTAATTTGCAGGTGCATACACTAAAGCAACAACTGGAAAGTTTTGATCAAACAGAGTGTTAAAAGAGGACTCTTTAGCGTTCTCACCTTTTCTTTCAGTTCAAGAATTTGTTTTCCGGGCGGAATGACCGAGCAGTTGAGTAGAGCAGACAAATTCTCGCAAAAAGAAGAAATTTCGCCATTCTTTTGATTCCCTTTACTCTTAGCATCATCCAGTTTCATTTGGAGGAGAGTGAAATGAGTCTCATATAATACCCACTCAACCTGATGATAAGTGTCCCCTCTGGCTACAAGGTGCGTCAAAACGTGAGAGGCAAGCATGGCAGCGGTATGAAGGGCGTTTACTCTGGACATAACACCTGAAGGTGGTGTTGTCATTTGTTTGCACACGTTGCTGAGGACACTACATCCCTGAAGCCACTGTACATTATCAGGTCTTGACAAGTTGTTGGACGATAGAGTTATCTGTTGCCATTTTTTATTTTCCTTGCTTGGGTCATTTGCATCGACGGTCATTTGGTTCAGCAGATGCTCAATCCCTTCAGACAGATATTTTACAGCTTCCTCTTTTCTTTTGCCAGGTCCATCTTTTTGTTGGCCCAAAGCCAAGCCAAGGTAAAATCTGCCAAGGAAAGGGCACAAGAATCAAAATGATGGCAATAAAACACTAAACAAACCACACACTACACTGACCTTGCCTCAAGACTGGTGGGCTTTAGTCCAACAGCCACTTGAAGACGAGATACAGCTTCTTCTGGTTTGCTTTGAAGCAGAAGCATTCTGCCAACATGCAAGTTGTACAAGTGATTATCAGCTCCATTGACCAGGGCATCTAAGTATTTTAGGTAGGCTTTGCCGAGGGGTTCTTCCTCATTGCTTGCCAGCTGAGCCGTTTTATTCTGTAGACAGGATCCCACATAAATTTACCACAATAAATGTTCATATTTGAATAATCGACAAATACCTTTTCTGTGCAACTTGTTGGGAGTGATTCTTATCGCATTGCAAAACAAAGAAAGTGTAGTCTGAAGCATGGATAGAGTGGGGGGGGGGGGGCTTCATAAATTTCTTCCTCTAAAAAGGGGGCTTGTTAGAGGGGGGTGGCTTGTCAGAGGGGGTGGCTTGTTAGAGGGGGGTGGCTTGTTAGAGGGGGGTGGCTTATTAGAGGATTTACGGTAACTATTTTTCATTTGAAGTAGCAGAAATTTAATTCACCAACTTTTAAAAAGGTAGGAATATTTGCCGGAAAAAGAAAAGTACTAGTGAAAATGCACTTCAGTTTCAGTACCAGTTCTTGACAAACTGCCGTACGATAATTCAGGAGATGGATAAGAAATTCAACTCAGTAGGTATGGAATTTTCCTACTATTAACAGAAGTCTGACTCTTAGCCCTAGCTCAAGATTCCCTCACCTGCGTAGCCTGTTTTGATTTCCATCCATACAGCTTCTGAACATAGTCTGCTCTGTCAGACTGTCCTTGATCCAGCAAGTAGTGATACTCTTCATCGATAGCTTTCAACTGAAGGGCCAGGGGAGCATTCCGTCCTGCTCCGCGCAACTCACAGATGGCTTGAATATCATCCTCTTTTGAGCTCTCCTTGGATATCATATTGAAATCCATCTCCTCATCATCAGATGATTTCTTGAAATAGACAAGCAGCTCATTGGTAATTTGGTAACTAAATGCATTATGTACAGTTACAGTAAACTACACTAACCATTAGCAGTGATGATATTTTTTTACAGGCAATTGATTATCAGAGGATGTTAATAAATTATTGATAGTGACTTGAAGCACAGGGGGGTTCATTAGATAGCATACATGTAAGTAGCTTGAGCTATTAAAATTTGGTCAAAGAACTCGGTATCTGATAAACACCTTGAAGGAGAAATCTTGGCTCAAAAGTTTTTGTAAAAGGAGAGATTACCTTGTAGCTTATTTGTAATTAAACAAAAGATTAGAAGATACTGGTAAGTTTAATAGTAACCCCTGGATACAACAGCAACAAAAAGATAAATTTGCTTCATGCTCTTGAAAAAAATATAATACTGTGGCTGCCAAAGCCAATATCAACCACCTGGTAGAACTACAAAGCACCCCTGCCAAGTCCTAATCTTATAAATAAGGCAATGAACCACATCAAGTTGTAACAGAGGCATTGACTTACTTCAGGTTTGATACCATACACATCCTGCACATAATGTTGCTCCTCTAATACCTGCCCCAATTGAAAATGAAGATCTGCCTTTTTAGGTGATAACTTGATGGCTGTTGCAAGCCACTCTGCTGCCCTCTCAAGATACCTCAATGGAGAAATTTCTCCATCATAATGACCCGCATTTCCTGCAAATTGTACCATAAATCCAATGTTGAAGTGTAAATGTATGTGCCTTTTCACACTGGCCACCACCCTAGAGCATAAGTAACTGATACCATTGAGGGGAGGTTTTAGTCACTGTAAGAGTCCAAAGTAGTAATTGCACTGTAACAAAGAAGCTCAACAATTGTGGAAAAACCACTTTTTTTTCAGTGGTTTAATAGTCATTGTGACTGTGTGTAGGAAAATGTAAGTTGAATACATACATGTACACCTAGTATATGTTTGCCCTGGATATTATACTCATACTTTGCAAAAAGTTGAAAAAAGAATGGTAACAAGTGATTCAAATTCAGATTCACTGTTTAATTTAACACAAGCTTCTTAGAATACCCAAAAATGAAATGCTTATACCAAAATATTGATTCTATCTTTACTGGTCACATCTCAAGAATCCAATGAACATGTTAACAATGATGATGTTTGCAACACCATCACTATAAGATGAAATAATCATTCAAAAATAACTCTGTCAGGATTTTCTTTAAGTTTCAGGATTTCCCACTGCTAAAGTAGCTTGTACAGCCTAAGGTGTTTCAGGTGAAGTTTGACTGTTGAATGCTAAGTATACAACTTGGAATCAACTAAGGTTTTAACATGAAGTTCAACATAACATGTACAGTGAATAAAGGCTGATAGTTTCTAAAGAAACTGTTTGGGGCTGTGTCGGTGGGGGTAATGAAATAATTTGGATATATCAACAAAGTTGAAATGGTAAATTGGCCACCGTAACGATTGCAAAAGCTGACGTTTCAAGCGTTAGCCCTTTGTTGGAGCGAACGACGAAGGGCTAACGCTCAAAACGTCAGCTTTTGTAATCATTACAGTGGCCAATTTACCATTTCAACTTTGTTGATATATCCAAATTAACATGTACAGTGTTTGACAAATAGTACACTTGATTGCTGCCAAAAGCACATTAAACATCTGAAAAGTCACAGAACCATTAGGACCACTTTAATTTGCATTTTCAATTAGTTCTAGAGGTTACACTGCAACTGTTTGCTATTAATGCGTGTACACTTTGTCCAAATATTAGAATGCAGGCATTGTTACAATTTTTGCATATGAGATAACTTGCTTTGACAAAATGTACTCACCATGCTGTGGTAAAACTTTGAAGCATTCATTGATTTGCTCTTCAGCAGTCTTAGCCAACTTATCAGCAGATTTTTCATTTGTTTCCACATGTAGCCTTTTCTCCCATGCTCTTACTTCAGACTTGTGCCTTACACCGGTGTTGGTATGTTTACTGGTACACATGAAAGTCTTGTGTTCCTCCAGCTCAGAACTTCGCACTGGTCGGTTACAGTCAGTGCAACCTTTAGAAGCCTCCTAAATATACAAGAAATGGTGAGGAATTTCAGTGGTCTTTGAAAAATTTTGATTTCATATTTTTTCTTTAATCTTCTCTCTTTTTTTTTCTCTCTCTCTCATTCAGAATTTGTTCTTTATCTGTTTTTCTTGAATGTAACATTCTTAACTGCAATAATATTGTGAGTACTTAACTATTACTAGATCATAAACATTCAAGTCAAAGGCAGAATTTAAAGAAAATTCAAATGTTCTGATTTTTCTGTCTACAGCTCCATCAAGCTTATGATGTAACCCTTCTTAAAAAATTATTTTTGATTTTCATGAGTTAGTAAATCCTCTGACTCTGTCTCCATCACTAGTGAAAGCCAGCCCCCATATGATTTGTCAATCACTTGCATGATTACAGACTGAATTGGATAACACAAAGTCCTGTTACCAATTAATCATAACCATTGCAATTTCGGAAAAAAATACTTCTATTTTAAAAAATATTACTTGTGGAGACATTGTCCTGGGTAAAAAATTCCTCCACTTTCAAAGTTCCTCAGTTTTGCAGGGTAAGTGGTTTTTGCTATGGTTATTGAGATCAATTCTGTGATTGGTGGATTTAGCTAAGTGGACTTAGTATGATTGGCATTTTTAACTGTCTGATGACAGGTGTTTGATTATAGTCAACTATCTGATTACATTGTTTGATTACAACTCTACTGAATAATTAGTGAAAAATTAAGCAGCTATTACGCCAGTCACATTTTAGGAAATTGTTATGGTTACGATTACAGGTGGAATTTGCAGTAGACGAAATGAACTCCTAAATTAACATTTTGCACTGAACGCCAACTAAAGATGGACAATTTGGCATGAATCAACAACACGAGCAACAAAGACTTATGTCTGCAGCTCATTACTGCCTTGGTAAACATCTACTACTAAGAAAAAAATTACCTTTGACTTTTCTTCTAAATCCTTAGTTGGGACTAGCTGTCCACCTTTCTCCACTGCAGCAGGTCTAAAATCACACTGCAGAACATGAGACCCCAGATCACAAAGCTTAACTTCGACACCACAACCCCAGTGCTTGTAAACACAGAACACCTGTTGGGAAGATAACTCCTTGTCTAGTTCATATTCGTCAGTACGCCATATATCAGCCAGAGGGGAACCGTCCAACGGGTCCACCTTTGAGGTTCGCGTTAATTCATCGATGCAGCACTTACAGAAGACATGCTTGGGGTCACTATCTTTGATGGACTTTGGACGATAGAGAATTCCTAGACAAACGGGACATTGAAACCTCAGTTGTTGCTTCTCGTCTGAAAATTCAATCGGTCTTGGGAGCTTCAATCTTGAGACCACCAACAAATACGTTCGTTTATTGGTGGTGTCCGGTGAGGTTACCTCAACTTCAACAACTGTGTCGCCATATCTCAAAGCTGTTGGTTCTTTCGATTCAGTTCCATTAACTTTGACTGCAGTTTTCTTATCAGCTACGGCGGGAGTTATTTCAACAGAAGAGCAAGAAAACGGAACAAAAGTAGAGTAACTTGTAATGTTGGAAGCAAAATTTGGAGAAAGAAGACCAATGGAAAGTTTGAGTTCGGAGAGGGACGCATCACTTGCAGACAACCGCGTAACGTGAATGAAATAATTTTTTATTGTGCTTCCATCTTCTGCAGTTACTTCTACTTTAACGGGAGTGACTTCTCCTTCTTTGAGAGAGACCGTCTTTCCACCACCACTTCCCTGTAAATACAAAAATCAAATTGCAAGATGCCTACATGTGTTGAGCTTTCATGCACAACAGTAATATTTAATTTGGCGCGAACAGTTATCCTCACCGAAATAGAGTACGATGCCCCGGAATCACTTGTCAGTGGATCGACTTTGATCTGACTAACATCACTTCCAAGAGTAACCGAGTATTCAGTCGTGTTAGGATGGAATTTCGGCGATAGTTTTCCTGGAGAAATGGAGAGCCTTTCTAAGTCAGCGTTGTCCATGTTGCCAGGCACTCAAACCCTCAAGGACCCAAGGCAACCAACATCACGCAACAAACGATCTGGATGACTGCGTGACGAACGAACAACTCCAATAAGCCCTTAGCGTTGTGATGAATTATAGAGCTTTCAGAGTGGGGGGAGGGGCTTCTAAAAACTCATTGATGATAGCAAAAATGCGAGTCGTTATTACTTCTCTTGCGACTGTTGCCTCGCTGTAACGTTCAGTGGGGGAGTGGAAGCATGAATCACGAATCATAGGAGATCAATCAGAAGGAAGCATGAATTATCGTGTTTAAGGTTTGGAGATAAAAAATCGTGAATGAATCAGAAACTATTGGGCTAAAATAAGCTGGAATCATGAATCTCCAAGGTCAAATTATTACATTTGCGCCCCTGATGTAGGATGGAAAACTTACAACAAAGTTTAAAAACAAAACTGATAGAGGCTGTCCATTACAATTTTCCTTTGTGCTTGTTACTGTGAATGAATGACAATGATATCGCTACCAACAGCAGTTGAAACACTTAGATTTATCTAATCAGTTTTAAATTTTCATTGTCATTATCAACGTTATTAAAAATATTACAGTTATCATCATCATCATTATCCTAATTATTACTATCATCATCATTTTAACTCATAAATTACACAGCCCAAAGCCATTATAACTGATAAGATTTTGTTTTGTTCGGGTTTCATATTTCAGGAGTACGCCGAAAGCTCGTGCTTAGTTGCCGTGAGTAGCGGAGTGCTGTTGGCTTAGGCGATCTGGAAATGGAGGAAAAGTTACACGCTGTAGAGGTGGGTGGGGGAGGCGCATGTTACTCTCGGTAATGTTTGTAGCCATCGACAGTTCTTCGGAGTTTGTCATATTCTGGACTGAAGGCCATCGAAAGGCGGAAGTCAACTTTTGAACAGGAGAGGAATGAGACCTTCTGTCTGGAGAAACAAGCCATGGGGATATCCTGGATGATGATCGTGCTGGAGCAGAGATCGTATGGCCGTATGGTAATTTCTTCCCTTGCCGTGCAGTTACCAGAGACACATTGTCAATAGACCCTTTCAAGGTTAACGCCGCCACTTTCCCGGGGTTGCAAAACTGCTGGGGCGAACGCAAAATGTAGAGTGAATGTATGGGAAAAGTTGAGAAAATGATGCTCGATAATTTGAGGAAGGTTGACATCGTGCAATTTATATGAATTACAAACTAAAGATACCAGACCTAACAGTTTACCGATCAAATTTGAGAAATGAAGTCTCGCGAAAAAGCCGCAAATTAAGATTTTGATTTTCCATATATTTGTCTCTAAAAACCAAACCGCCGTTTCCGGGAAGATTTAAAAGTATTTGTATTAAAAACTAAAAATAAGATTTCTCACATCTCAGCGAGCCTGAACCCTTCACGTTTAATCGGTAACATCTTTTGCTAGGTATCTTTACTTCGTAATTCATAGAAATTCCAGAATGTCAACCTTCCTCAAATTATCGAGCATCAATCTCCCGACTTTTTCCATACATTCACTGTACATTTTGCGCTCGCCCCAGCAGTTTTGCACCCCCGGCAAAATGGCGGCGTTAATTTTGAAAGGGTCTAAAGGATTATTTCTCTCGGATGCCTTGAGGTAGTTTGGACGCTGTACTGGTTGACACGCTCGTTTGAGGAAGGCGACACCATTACCTGAGGTGTTTCTTCAAGAGTATGGGATCGTAAATGTTCCTTTCTTTTTTCTTTTGAAATGGCCCCTGCAAAGGACTGCAAAGGATAGATCTTCTCCTCAACTTAAAACCATTCGTCCTTTCTTGGCGACGTTTCTCGCTTGCTTTCCTTTTCCATCACAGAAACGATTGTCAAATGACGGTTTACCACGGCCTGACAAGCCCAGAAAGGGCTGGTATATAACCACCAAGGCCAGCAAGAGTTTTTCCCTTTTGATTCTACCGCCAGCCAATCGCAGTTCGGACTGTATTTCGCCAGTTATTTCATCATCATTAGCCAATCAAAGGAGGATTAATGAGTGACTTAAGTGATATTTTCCTTGAGAAATTAATTAGACCATTCATCAATTAAGGAAACTCAAATTGCGCAAGTTAAAGCCTGCCTTCTCTGTAACAGTCCCACAAAACCTTGTGCACTCCAGTGGTGAAATGAAAACAACTATTACGAAATACTATTCCTAATTTAATGTAATCAGCGGCAATGTCAATTTCAAGACGCGTTTTTAGGTAAAAGCAGCGTTCCATGGGTATCTCGAGCCAGGAACTTTGATGAAAGGGTGGTCTGTGAATTTATTTAATCTAACCGTGGTTGGCACATTTCAGAGACACGCCCTTGTCAACTTACTGCCGTACCTTCCTTCTCTCAAATAAAGGAAACTGATTACTTGGGAACCTTTGAACACACCCTTTTTTTTCTTTCTTTTTTTTTTTCTAGAAGTATTGGTTCGTAATCAACCATTTGTGAAACTAGCTATAATTTTTTTAGTTTCGGAATTCAAAACCAAACAATATTTGGTGCCTTTCTTCCTTTTCCTTAAATTAAGAAAAAACTTCTTAGAACGACAACCGTTACAGCTTAAATTTCCGAGTTCTCGTCTAACTTTCTCTTGTCATTAAATATTCAGAATAATTCAAATTAAGATCTAGAATAAATGAATCAATGCAAATTTAGCACTGCTACGAATCAAGACAAAACAAGGCGCCTTCAAATGATTAAAAAATATATTTATATTCGATGAAATAATAGGATCAGGAGCCCATTAATTGGGCTCACGACAGGATCAAATTCAAACCAAAGAGATCCGCATTTCGTTATCGATCAAGATTATATCTTGATTAGGATCGAAGCGTATGAAATAGAACTTTTGAGCATTTTCTAACCTGCGGGTCAAAAAAATCAAGAAAAAAAATTGATTTTAGTGCGCCGCGCGAACTCTGGGAATGACGCCCACCAATTCTTGTACGCTTTACTCCCAGTGTTCCGCCCTGCACACTAAAATCAATTCCGGCTCTTTTTTTTTTTCGCGGATTTTCAACAACCGTTTAGTTGTTCTTATGATCGTTTCTTTGCATTCTGCCTAAAAAGAGTTTGTGAAATTTCAAACAGTTAAGACAGGTGGGCGCAGTTAAATACATCAACTGATAAATTTCCTTAACTGAGATTCAACAAGAAAGTCCGCTACTTACGGTGCTATGTAGAAAAATACCGAATGCGCAGAGATCAAATAAGTACATTGCCACACTATTCTTGCGACATTCATTTTTTCCTGCTTCGTCAACGCACATCCAGCAAGTTGCGCAATTCAGAATTTCCTTAACCAATCTTAGGTTCAATTGTCTCTAGGAACCTATCTCATGTCGCTTTCATTGATCCTCAATCTCTTATTGCCTTTTCATTTTTTTGGTTTTGACAACATGCTCACGTTACGTACCAAATAACTATTAGCTGACGGAAAATTGGTAATTACATCTTACGCTTAGGGCAAGTCGCCTTCGTTCGGTTGCTATAGATGCTGCGAGCGTACTCAGCTTTGTTTTAAGGACCCCTAAGTTCCCTTGGAGTAAACACGCTATTGGGAGTGTTCGACAGAAATTTCAGTGAAGGCTATACCGAACTGAGCTGATGAACTCTTCAAACGAGCAATGTCATACCTGTTAAAATTGAGGACCCGCAGTGGACTGAATTGTCATCCGCATCAAAATGCGGTTGACATTTAGTAACTCGAACTCGTACGAGTTCGATCCAAAATTTACCTCAACCCTTAACTTGCTTGATTCATTTTCAGCCACTTCGAACCCTCGAAAATCCCGTCTCCCAAAGTGATCTTTTTCTCCTTTTTTTCAGGATCACTTTTTTTTAAATCTTAACTGTCATGACTAGAATAGAGGGACTTCACCACATGTTTAGTGATTTCAGACACTACTCCTCATCTTCCGATAACTTTAACTTCGGTTAACATTTGTACGAGCAGTTCAAGCTCACGGAAGTAAACAGTGCCACAAGGCCGTTCATTTGTGATGGGCTGTTCTAAGAACACGCACAAAATCATAAGGATGTTATTTTTTTTTTTTGTTTATTTATTTTCTCTCAGTATCATTATAAGACAAAAGTAACACTATATCGATTTTTGATTTAATCTGCAAAATACATCTTAAGTTATTTCATGTTCGAGGTAAACCTCTTTCCTTCCATGCAGGTACTTAACACTTTACAAAAGTTACATCAGGAGTACAGCGTCGTCAAACCCATCAGACAATCAAAGCAGCAGAAGGCCTTATAAATACTTATACAATACAAGATCCTGTAAAATGCTTAGTATACAAAATTTGCAAAGTGAAACCCTCAACCATGATTTCCACAAAATACAACTCAATAACTCTGGACTTATAAGAAACACAAAGGTCAAAATATACATTTCATATCAACTTTTCCTGTACAAGCTCACAAAAATAATACATGGTTGCTCGCCAAGGTCAGACCAGATCAAGGGCATGATGAGTGCGACACACGACTATAATGGCGTGTATCAAGAAGTAACCGCGAATAATGATCACACAAAACACGTGTCTAGTGTAGTTTTACAAGTCACGTGACCCGTCACGTGGTGTACGACTTGTAAAAAAATACGTGTGATTCAGAAACACGGTTTGTGTTCTTTGTGTGAAGTAGCTGAACTTTGGAAAACGTTTCTTCCTTCTTACCATAAACATGTAGTAAAACCATTTACTTTAGTTTTATTTTGATGGCATTTTTGACAACTGGTATTTGGCCAGCAGGCGGAGGTCCTTCGTCAGTGAGTTCCTTTTCAAGATCCTACAAAGTTTAAAAGAGGGTGACAAATTTCTTTGCTAAGCTGGTTGTGATGCACCTTTTCGTGCGATAAATACGGTAAAAGAGGAATAAACTATAGCTTTAACGTTCTGTTCGGTACCGTTCACAAGTTAGTTGACAGTCTCGACTCGAAACCCGATTCTCGATCGACGACCGAGATGCTCGAGGATGGCGATCCTGCAATTTCGACGAAACGATTTTATTTTCGCACGCAAAACAAAAGCGTTTGACATGCAACCTCAAGACAATGTTAAAATTGACTTCTGAAAATGAAATTTAAAAGAAGTTACTGACCTCGTTGGCAGATCTTAGTTTCTTCTCCGCGTGTTTTTCCTCGTTTGTCGGAGATATCGATCGTTTAACCGCCGTCGATACTCCATCCTTCGACTCCACTGGGTTGCGACTCTGGAATAATAAAACCGTGAAAAAAAATTTAAACGACTCTCTTAGAGAACATACATATGTCACTCCTGGAAGGTCTTAACACAATCACAAGAGAAGTTGCCAAATAAAACGGACCCATCACTAATGGGTGCAATCACTAACGAGGACCCTTTGTGAATAAGTGTCACCATTTATTAAAACTAGTAAATACGTGTCCGAAATAGCTGCCACACTTAAGATGTTGCTTCCCATAATGTTTATAGCCACGCCGAACTAAAAAAAAATTGTCAGATTCTTCGTTCTTACATCGATCAGATTTTCAGGTTCG